AAGTGTTTTGTCTCCCCCCACCCCCATAGCGTTAATCAGTAAATCAACATAGAACATTTGGATTGTTTGAACATAATATTTAAATTTAGATACCCTTGATGTAAAGAAACCTTGGTGAAGTAGAAATTTCAAGAGTATTAATACAATTTGAACTCTATGAAAAGAATATTCTGAGAGCTACATTAGAATGTATGTCTGCATTTTCCTGGAGAGCAGTAACTTGGGTGCATAGATTGCTCCCATGACCTGTAAAACTTTCAAGGTCATTAGCAGGATTTCTCATTATTTAGACTCCTGTTTTTAACCCCCATGGCAAAAGCATTTCCTAAGATTTGTCTCCTCCCTGTTTGTTACAAGAAGTCAGGTGGGGCCATTACTCTTTTGTAGCCATAATTGCATTCTGAACTCTAGCGCACAGGTTAATATTTTTCTCTTGACTCTTGAGTGTACTTTGCAGTTGCTACCATTTAACCCCCTTTGATATTGGGAAGTTTTTTCCTAAATACAATCTGAATATCTCCTTGATGTAGTTTAAATCCATAGCCTGATAGAAACTTTCCACTGATAAGCCACAACACTTGTATGTCAACATGATCTCTAAGATCTTACAGAACTTTTCTTGGCTCTTAAAAGTGTGGCTTATTTTTTTTCTTAGCTGCATTGACCTACTTCTCTTTCTGTTTAACTTTAGCCTAATTTGCTCCTGGGCACTTGACTATTTTACTATCATTGCAAGATTGCTCTTCAAATTTTCCAGTATATCCATCTCATATATTCACACAACAATTTGAAAATTTTATGAGCTTAATTTGGATACTATGATAATTATTTAAATATCTACTTTGAAAAGCTACTTGAGGTCAGTCTCCTTGAAGAAGCTCAGTATTCAAGATTGCTGGTAATACTTTATCTCAGAGATGGTGTTGGGTGTATTCCTTAGAAAGCTGTGGCTCACTGATACCACTGTCTCTACAGTTCAGTTTCTGTTGGTGGCCACTGTCCTTTGTGCTGGAACTTTGAAAATAGGACTGTGATACTTACAGGGTAGACACATAGCAATAAAATAATGTGATATATACTAAGTTGAGGAAAATGTTATACAAGAGGTAACATAAGTTAGGATGGAAACAGGGAAGGAAACCTACTCTTAGAACTGCAAAGATTCTCAAACATATGTCCATTGTGAGACCACCTCCCCCGCCCATCCTTCTATTGTCTTCATTACATCCATTTTTTACAATAAAAATCAATTAAATTACAGTATGTGTTAACCTGGAGCCTGACATATTTGATATATGGCATATTTGGAAGTCAACAAACAGCCCAATGTGGTGGAGTGATAGAATAGTAGTGAACACCTGTAAGAAAAGGTAAAAACACAAGTTAAAAATGTTATAAATGATGTTAAATTCTACACTGGGATAGTTGGGTTTTATTCATAAGGAGTTTTGAATAATGGAGAAGCAGAGAGAATTGTGGGGGAAGTGAAATCTCTTCCTTAGGGCTGTGCTCCCAGGATGGCTCTCAGAGGCTCAAAACAAACTCAGTGAGTGGTCTAGAAACCTCTGTTGAAATCCAAACAGGCTCAAGTGTACTCCTTGGGTAGTTAATAAGTTACTTCAGATAGAATAGCTATGTTATAAATCCTTTGATGTGGAGCATTCCTTTATATGATATTTTTGGGTTGTATCTGAAAAAAATGTTCTGAAAAACATGATATATACAGTATTCCTGAGACTATTGAAGAAATATAAGTGTAGTACAAATTCAGCCAATGGCTGACTCAAGTGGGTCCAGAGACCACCTCCCCTGCCCATCCTTTCATGGTCTTCATTACATCCATTTTTACCATGGACTTAGCTTTGTGTCTATGTAGTGTGCCATCGGGTATGGATGAAGCCATAAAGTTCTGCCATGTGACTTATCTCTGCCACTTGTTTGTAAGCTCACTGAAGGTAGGAATAGTGTTTTATCCCTCCTTCGTAACTCTCCAGAACCTCGTTCTGTGTTGTGCTCTTTATCCACCCAGCAAAGGCCGTGGACAGAATGATAAATACAGTGCATCAGAAGATGCTGCTGCTCTGTTTATTAAGAACGATTCAAGATCCAAAAATAAGGATTCTCACTCACCTGTTAGTATTTGAACAAAAATAAATGCTTATTTTTGAAGATGTGTCTAGCACCTGTGGACACAGAAGGCTCAAGTGAAAACCGGAGCAATCTATGGAGTCATCAAACTAGGAGAAAAAGCTAAATAGTTGTGACTAGGGAAAGGAATAAGGAAGGTGCCAGACACAGATACAATGCCAGACATAGGAAATCTTCACAGAAATGCCAAATTCTGTGAGGCAGGGTTTTTTTGTTTTGTACTTCTTCCAAGTTCGGAAACTGGGGTTCAAAGAGGCTAAGTAATGGTCTTCAAAATGTGTTTCTCATTGCAAGAGGTGGCTCTGAGATTCTAGGTAACCTCAGCCGCACTATCCCCTGCTGGGGAGGTGTGGGTCCTTCCTCACTCAACAGGGCACTCGTTCTAGCTCATGCAACCAGACTCAGGAAGATGTGCAACATTCTTTCTCAGTTCTATTACATTTTCTTTGTCTCTCCTATTTTTGTGATTAACATTGGAAACTAAACCTACTTAATGAAATACTTTCTATTCTTTCACACAAGTCACAAATACGACTTTTGATAAGAGAAAGTGAATGGAATAGTTAGGGTTTTGGTTGCTTGATGGATCACACGTCTCACTATCCATGTGTTTTCAATATCATTTTTCAGATGAAAATTATGTAGAATAAGAACTTTTGCTTGAGTTTGTCAAAGTTTAAAGTCTGTAATACCAGAAAAGATACCTTTCTCAATTTCACTTTAAGGAAATTCTTTCTTTTTATTAATTCAAATTCTTGAGTTTAAATATTAGTATTATCACAGAAAGGTGACATGCAGAAAGATGATACATTTCTACTGAACATGACATTGGTCGTACTAATACCATGTTCTGAGCTTATCTTATTGGTAGTGACGTTATGCTTTATTACCCATGTTCATCTCTCATTCTCAACCATTTGGATTCCTCAGAAATCCTGAATACACACTCCAGGTCATTCAGGATTTATGGATAAAGTTCTCAGACACTGCTAAAAGAACTGTCACAGAGTTGACAAAACAAAATCCTCTTCCTTTAAACTCTGAAGAGAGGCATTCTTGTGTTTTGGTATGTTTTCCATTTTAGATAATATTGAATCTTAAATATTGTACAAATCTAGTAGTTTTACAAGTTGGAATTCTCAAACCAACTCATAGCAAAAGCAGCAAATTCCCAGTGGTGGAGCCAGTAGCCTCTGTGACGACCTCTGAATAAGAAAGGAAATACCTAGAATGACATACATCCTGGTGTGTTCATTGATCTTTATGGTGGTGACCTTGAGTCATGGAGGAAACTTTGAATTACATTCTATGCCTGCTATTTTCTAAAGCATGGAGGTATGTAGTCATTTTTAGGAAGGTTTCCAACAAAAAAATATTCAAAAGTAATTCTTTAAATGGTATTCTAAAAATCTTGATCAAAACTTAAAGATCAAACTGTATCGATGGAAGAGATAGGAAGATTTCTCCCTTCCTTTGGTGTATGTGCTCTTTGGTGCTGGTGCGCTCCAACAGGTTGTTGATGAAAGGAGTCTTAGCAGCTGTCAATGGCAGGCGAGTCTCAACATCTTGTGGTATCATTAGTTCCTGGGTACTTCAAACTTGCCTCAGACTAAGTTTGTCTCTACTTTATTTGTAAATTTAATTTCCTTTCCCAAAATGCTAATTTAAAACTCTTATTGGAGAGTAAACCTCCTAGGATGGTCAAATGAAGTCTAATCTAACTTCTGTCACATTGTTACCATTTTCAATTTTAATTATGCAAAAAATCTATGCTGGGATTTTTTTCTTACCTCTGGGCTCCAGAGTTTAGCATGTTTGGACACTGAAGAAACAATGAATTCATATAGGTTTGATATTATACAACAAAATATCAAGTCAGTCATTGTATAATACAGATATTAAACAATGGTCTTAGTATCTGTTATTTATTTGATATTGTATACAGTGGTCTTTTTAATATCTGATATTGTACAATATGTGGTTTCAATGAAGATAAAAGGATTTCTATTTATTTTGCTTTTATAACTATTAATTCAGTCCAGGATGTGAACATATGCTCTGTGACTACTGTTCTGGATATAGAGCTCTGCAAAGATTGGACCAGCTAGTCACTATGATTAACTGTATCAAGAAATAAAAGTATAACAAGAGCCCTACAAGCTTGAATGTCAGTTTATAATTCCAGTGGATGAGTGAGATTTGAGACTTTAAAAGTTAAGCTACTCAGTGGCATGCTCTGAAAATACAATTGAAGCTGTATTTCCCACGCATGACTGCATGAAGCTGTCCATTCCCATGCATGACTCGCCCGTTTAATGTTAACAGATTTTCCCCATTTAAGGTATTTATGCTATAGCTCACTCTGTCTGAAATGACTTTTTCCAGCAAATGGTCTGAAGCTAAGTTTATAAAATCAATTTTTTAAAAATGATTAATTTTTGCAAATAATTAAACAAAAATGTCATGTTTCCTCAGTTATCTAGGCATGACTTTGCTCGGCTAAAGTCAGCATCTGAAATCTATGTTTTCATGAATATAGTTATGTGATCCAAAAATAGTCAAAACCTTATGTGATTAACTTGACTCTTTTTATTCTACTGAGCCATCAGAGCCACCAAGGTGATATTATTGATATTATTTGTTCTTATAATATGAGCCTCATCACAGTTACCTGGAATACACTTACAAATTATTATATAAATAACCAAAATTACTTTTACTTGATTATTTCAAAAGTTATATATCTATAAATGTACATTAACAAATTACATATGCATTGGATGAAAATCCTATGAACTACTTAATTTAACACATTTCTATGTATCTATTTTTATAAAAACTGAACTCTCCATATTTACAAGGCTGTCTGGGATAACAAGCAAAATAAACAAGAGCCTTTCTGGATAAATCTGTCCATGTGCCAAAGTGATTTAGGTCTGATTCAAGACACAAAACTCACTACCTCTGAAAAAAATGAAGACGCATTTATTAAATGACCAGAAGAAATTCTACAGTATGTAGAATGGCAATAAGAATACATAATTTTATAGTTATTTTTAATTTTTAAAAACACGTCCAGGGAAGTAAAAATATTCTTTCAATTAAGATGCTCAAAGAAATAAGATAAATTGATGCAAGGACTCCTTCAAGTTAGGATTTATGATACAAATATTTTCATCTTTTAACAGGGCAAGCTGGTGTTCACATCTCAGTTCCAAGCTGCCTCTTTCAGGAGGAAACATCAGTATTTTTCAAAGCACATTTACAACGCGTTGCCACCACCCTGGCTGTGTTTTTGTAGCACCTATAGCCATGACTGGCATCCGGGGCTTTGCATGGTTGGCAGTTTCCCTCTTATTTCTTTGGAGTCTGTTCACCTGCTGTGGTTTTACTCAGAAGTCAGTGCTTTGCATAGATGATTTCCTGAGACAGTTTGAATAGCGTTTCTCAGAAAAACTGTGCCATTCTGCCTGTGAACAGCTCTTCTCTGAGGGGAGCTGACAGTTAACTGCCCGGTCAGGTCAGTGTACTTGGACTTGGGTTCTCAGCCATGCCCGGCTAGCTTCTCTCCCTACCTCTTCATAGCTCTGCTTCAGTGACATCACTGCCCACATCCTGCCATCCCTTTAAAGAAGAGAACAAGATTTGGACTAGTCCAGTTAGAAAAAAATAAAATGCTTCCCAGGAAACCTATGCAAAGCTCCCATAAAAACAATTCATAATTGTTTCAGCAACTGATGTGGAAATGATTTTAAAGAATAAACAAAACCAGATTGAATCATTCAAATTTCTGCAAGGTAATAATCTGTTTCAGAGACAGAAGTCCCCATTTAGGGTTCTAGATATGAACTTTGGGAACAAAGTTAACCTTAAATTTCTTGATTTGAGTATCTTTTGTTCAAGATCATGAAAGGGCGGTTTTAAGATAAGGAGAACAAAATGGGTTTCAATGCGCTTTAAATGGCATGCTGTTTCGAGGTGCTAAGGTAAAGAGAAGCACTGTTTTATGAAGTGGGTCATGTGGGTATATATATGTTGGTGTGCCATGTTGGTACCGATTCCATGGTCTTCATCAGTATACCACTGGAGAGAGAGAAAAAGGTCGGAATTAGGGATTCAGTTGCCTTTGTTTTCCAATCAATTCAAATGAGCTCGCATGAGCATACATAGAATAAAAAGGACGTTTTAGTTCCTGAATTAGTGTATGAACTGCATCGTGATAAAAAAGGGTGTCTAATCCCCACCCCCACCCCCCCCCCGAGCTTTCCCGGGGCACATTGTTCTGTCGTGCGGAAGGTGCTGAGAGAACTCACTGTGAATTTGGCTTTCATGCACAGTGTTTTCAGGATATGTATATTCCAATAAAAACATCCAAATCCATTTTCAAATTTGAATCAAAGGACACTTAGAACCCTATCAAGCACAGGAGGGAGCGTTTATCCCATTGAGCTCACTAGTTTTAATTAAGTGTTAGCAAGTGTCAAATTTCTCCTGCACTGTAGTGAGATGAGTTGTATTAAAATACATAAGCTTTTAAAGGCAATTTTTCCTAATATATGTCAATAAGGAACAAGAAAAATCTACTTCCATATTCCGTATATATGTTTAACATAAGTGAAGTCAAATGCATTATTTGGAAACACTTAGATCAGTGGTTCTCAACCTTCCTAATGCTGCGACCCTTTAATACAGTTCCTCATGTTGTGGTGACCCCCAAACATAAAATTATTTTCGTTGCTACTTCATAACTGTAATTTTGCTACTGTTATGTCTTAGGCAACCCCTGTGAAAGGGTCGTTCAACCCCCAAAGGGGTCTCGACCCACAGGTTGAGAACCGCTTACTTAGATGTTTCCCTAGAGTTGTTTGTTTGTTTGTTTTTTAATTTGCATGTCAGACATTTATGTAGAAAAAGTTGACTCAAGGCAAAAATTGATCTGATCAACTCATACCAAATTAAGAAACTGGGATGTCACTGGCAGGCAAACATATATTAGGGAGACATAAATTAACTTTTAAAAATTGCTTAATTAAAGTATGTCTTTTCGTTGAACAGTGAAAAAAATAAACCTCAACCTCTTATAAGAATCTGACCCACAAGATATTTACCAGGTGTTTTCGGTATCAAATTACGGTCTCACTCCCAAATGGAGGGCACCGTTTGAACTAAGTACAGGGCAAAGTGTGTGAGTTGGAATAGAGTGAGAGAAAGCGGGCTTTTCTAGCTAATACAGACAAAAAAGCATTTTGCACAAAAACATTTAGTGCACCACATACACATATACACACATATGTACCTGTATTATATATTTTTTCTTAATTAGAAAAGGTCAGGTGCAGAAAATGAACTTCGCTTCCTACCTAGAAAGCTCCTTCTGTATAGGCCACGGCTGCTCTAGCCATTCCCGACTTTATAACACAAGCCTAATTGTTTATCGCCTGCGGTTGTTCAACAAAAGATAATATGGCAGTTGCAGAACCTGAAGCGTGCTGGTTATTAATATTCCACTGTTCGAATGGCTGGTGATACGTACGACAGAAATGGATTTTCATATTTGAACTGAGCTATTATCATGCTGGTTTCACTTCCGAATGACTCTGTCACACATTTACTGAGTAAGTGATTACTTCTGAATCAAAACAGGGAGAGACTGAGCAGTCGCGCGAACAGGAGAGCAGTGTCTGACATTTGCAGGATCTGCAATGTTGTGCTTCTCAGCCCCGACTAATATCACTGAACATTACTCTGTCTATGTCTCAAGGATATCACTTCTCCTACTTCTCACTGGAACCATAACCCTTTTAATCCCATCCCTGTCTCCTGAGACCTTTGTGAGGCGAAGTATCCCAAAGAGGAGAAACCAGACGCCACCAGCAAGTTCCCTCCCCTTACACAAAGTTTTGCTATACCATTGCCTGGAAATCCACTCCAGCTTCCACTAAGGCTTTGGAGATCTGAGCTGACTGCTGGAAATGAACGTTATCTGCAGGGAGAGAAAGGAAACATACAGTCACTAAGAGCAGCTCCGGTTTTCTGATATGGAAGGGTGGGAAAGCAGTAGAAGAAAGGGACTGTTAGAAGTTCCAGGACTCAGCATCCCATTTAGCCCAAGACAAGTGAGTTGTGGAAAGCAACACTGTTTTATTGAAGTAGATGTAACAGTCTTGCCCCTCATGCTTTTGTTTTGTCAGTAGTGAAATTGCAAACCTGTCTGTGATACTAAAAAGTCTAATTAACTGAAACTCACCATCTGCTGTTCCATGAATAAGGAGGTACTCAACTTGTTTAAAATTTTCAGCTCTGCTCATGACTGTTGAATTCTGGAATTGGGAAAAAAGAATGTCATTATTCAAAAAAAGATCTGCCATAAACTGATTTTTCACTTCAGTTTACAAAATAAAATGTTTTCAGCTGGGGCCCCCTTTGATACAAAATATAGCAAACCGATCTTCAAGCAAATGCTGTCTCCATGCATGGCAGGATGCATAGCATGCCCTGTGCCTGGGAGGCAGGACTAGAAAGGGAGGATGCCACATCTTCCTTGCACATGTAGGAAGAAGGTACCTGCCACTCAGGCTGCATGCAAAACCCCTCGAGCTCCAGATCCCAGATTGACTATGTCCTATGCATTAGCACAGGGCAGAGTCTCATATTAGCAATGTATGTACCATGGGCTTATGCTGTAGTTCAGCCAAAAAGTGTATTGCTATGGCAACCATGTGTCACATGGTGCCATACATGCTACATTTCAAAGAGCCTGCACATAGCATTTGCAACTAAACATACTCTGCAATATGTCACATGAACTTTGGTCCACATTGCTAGGCTCTGAATGAGAAGCAAGTATACCTCTTTTGGAGCAGATGTTTGAAACCTAGGCAAATGTAACATATGGGAGGGGAAACGGGTGAAAAAGATCAAGAACGGCCTTAGGAAATCAGTGGGTTGTTGTCTGCTTCATTCCGTACTGGGGGAAATGCTGCTGTTGGATCAAGTTGTTCCCAAATCAGCCAGGGGAATAGGAGCAAACATTGGGAGGGTCCGCTTTTTGAAGACGGCTTGGTGGCCTCAGGTAGGACGTTCAGGGTGGGTCTTGGATGAGAAAGCCTTTCAAAGCTGGTTGTCTGATCTTAATTCGGGGATGTTTACAAAGTTGGGATGAAAAATGTCACATAGACATTTTAGTACCTTTGGGAGGGGATGAGCTGGAGTCTGCTTCTGTTGTCTTGTTATGGGTTGGGAGCGGAAGGGCCAGGACCCTCACTATGGGTTTAAAACCAGTCAGCTATTCCCACAGCACCTTGGTGAATCAAAGTGAACTTTGTGAGAGCCAAGGTGTGTATTTTACAGATACCTATAGCTAACACCAGCACCAGCTTAATATATTTTATGGGAACCCTGGTTGTCTGGCATGAGGCGGGATGGGCTAAGGTCAGAGTGTTTGTATCTGGTCCCAGTTCAGTATCAAGAAGCTGTGCACCTAGAGACAGGCTGGGCTCTGAGCCTTGTTTTTTGTAAAATCTGAATGAAAACAACTCCTCTTACTCCTTTACAGAAATAGGAGTCAACAGACATGGCTTTCTCCACTACCACCCTTTTTATTTTTTTACTAAGTTGCTGATGCTGATGTGAGAACACTGCTGTAACAGTGTTCCTGGAGAAAAGACATTCTGTCTACAGCTCTCAGGACCGAGTTAACTGACATATTTCAGTTGGCTGAGGCTCCCAAGGTGGTGTGTCCTGGGAAGCTTAGTACAGATGCCTCTCCCACCCCCGCACAGGCTGGTTCCCACATGTCCTGACCATATTATATTTCTGACCCGTGGTGAGAATTTACCCATGAACTTTAGGAATAAACACCTAGAACTCATTTAAAGCCACACTTTTATTTTACTTTATTTTTAAGAAGTGTTTTATCTAGTGAGATGTCCCAGATAAATTCATCCATGTATATGAATCCATCCATCCATCCATCCATTCACCCACCCACCCCAATATTACCCCATTCATTCTTCTACCTGTTCATTCATTTTTTTCATCTAGTCAATAAATATTTATTTGTGATATCCCACTAAACAATACAATCCATGAGAAAAAGGATTTGTCTATATTATTCATCACCATATTCTTAGCATCTAATACAGTGTTAAATATTAATCAAACAAATAAACGTAAGAAATGTAAGCCCCTATATTGTATTAGTCACTATATTTGGTCCTAGTTTTGCAGAGGTAAATGGGAACAGCTGGGGTAGGTGGAATAAATATTATTATTCTGAAATGCCCTGAGATATATTTTGCCCACTTTCAACCCATGCACCGTGCCATTAGTAATAGTAGCTAACGTTGATCGCGTTCACTCTGTCAGTCACTGCTAAGCATCATAACAGATTCATACAGACACACGCTATTTAATCCTCCTAATAGTCCCATGAGATACTGCTTTCCACGTGGAGACAATGAGATTCAGAAGTAGTAACTCTCACCAGGTTCCATCTGCTCAAAGCGACACAGCTGGACACAGTCTGGTGGCAGAGCCCTGTGTGCGCCCCCTGCGCCTGTGAGCTGGTCTTCCAGCAATGGGGCAGCAGGAAGTACACTGTTAATGAACTGTCCTGGAATTTAGTACGCAGACACAGTGCATACCCTGTGGCTCCCGTGTCCCCAGGCTTTCTCACACGGAATTAGTTGGTCTGCACAGCCCTGAGATTTGGGAGGCGAGTTTTACGACGGCGCCCATGAGCCAGGGAGCCTTGTGCGGCAATGGAAGCCTGAGCACTCTCTGTCCTTCAGCGAGGAAAAGGGGTAAATTCAGTCTCTCTAAAGGACAGTGTAGGATTGGAAGCTGGAGGCAGGAGAGGCTGGGGCTGGAACCCCGACAGTGAACATTTACAATCTGAGCCCCGTCCTGGTGCCCCGCAGAGTCCTGGGTGATCCTTCCCGCCAGTCCTCTTCTCAGCCTGTGCTGGCTGCGCTCTGTGTCTCCACCTGCTCCGACCCGCACTAAATCTAGCTCTCTGCTCGCAGAAGACAGGCAACCGGAACACCTAGACCGAACCCAAATACGCCTCTGTGTCAGCTCACCTCACTGCCAAAGCCTCACAGTCCTTCCTCGCTTGGCAGCTTGAACAGCAAAAGCTGCTCCTCCAACCTCCCTGAGCCATAAAACTGAGAAATGCCACTGAAACACAGAGTAATGGTTAGGAGACATATAAATACACAGGACCGTTAGCAAGGAATGTGATAACTACTGGAGTTTGGACCAAAACAGTTTCTGGCTGCCTTTTTTTTTTTCTTAAATGGAGTGAATACAGGCTGAAAGAAGACAATTTTTATAAACAAGTAAAACCCCGAGCCTAAGATAAATGTTGTGATGTACACACTGTAGCTGTGATGAACTAGACATGGTGAGAAATGCAACATACTGAGAAAAAGACGAAAACTGTGATAAAAGTGTCATGATGCAAATTGTTTTACATTAACAATATTACACTACAAAGAAAGAAAGACAAATACTTTAATGCAGCAAGAGAAAAATAAAACAAAAGCTTCCCCTGCAACTGCATGGTAAGTGTGCCATTGCCAAAGCACACTTCGCCCTGCTCACGGGGAGAAGCTGTGCGAGGGACACAGGCAGCCGAGGAGCACGCCCGCTTTAAGGCTCTCGGGCTGCTGAGAACATTTGTTTTTTCCCCCGAAAGAGGCAGCTGTATTCCCTTGCCTCATTCCCTAGCGTCCTGGTTTCTCAACCAAGAAAGACTCTTGACGGTGCCCTGTGTGGTGAGCTTTAACCTGTGAAAGTCAACACCTCAAGCCAGGGGAAGAAATGCATGCATTCATTGAAGGCATAATTAACCACGAGAAACTATTTAATGGTGCTATTTTAACCCACTCAAATGGGATAATCCCCATTTGCCTGTTGATGGAAACAGAAATAAAAAAGGAAATAGATGACTAAGTTAGAAGTCGGCTAGTCTATCACCAACTACTAAAAAGGAAGCGAAGAGTGATAAATGGGCAAGGATGCAACGGTGGTGCAGTTGGCACCCTCCTGAGGCTAGAAGCTTCCGGAGAGCCCCGCTGCCAGCAACAGCCTGGCAGAGCAGAGTGGGAAGGATTGGTCCAGTGGCAGTGCTGGTCCCACAGCGTCCCTGCAAGGAACTTTTCCTTCGAGCCCCAAGAAGAACCATCTGTAGCTGCTCGTTGCATCATGCTGGTTCCCCAGTTACCTTCCAACAAATACATCTTTGTATTTTTAAAATAAAAGAGAGAGCTGATAAGAGTGGGGAAGTGCTGTGAGAAACAGAAGACCTAACAATGTGCAAGCTACCCCTTGTGCTCTCCAGGAGCCATCAGGACAATTTGCTTCCTGAGGAACACGGTGGTGCCATGTTTTGAAAGCTTCCTCCATGGCAGAGGCACAGGCATCTCATTTAATCCTTGCAATCGCCCTGTGGGGTAGTTCCGATTCTCCCCATTATCTAGATGAGGAAACTGAGGTTCAGAGAGCTTACGTAGCCTCCCCAAGCTCATGCTGCTTCTAAATGCTGGAACTAGATTTTGAGTACAGGGCTAATCCCAGAGCCCTTCACTTCACAGCCAGACAACTCATCACCGTTTCCAGGACCTTGTAGAAAGAGCGAATAGCCACTGGTCTAATGGTCAGCCCAGTACTTCAGGGACACATCACCTCGGGTGTCCCGACTTCTTCATGCATTCTCCCACTCGAAACCAGAGCCTTATAAAGAATATTAAATGATGCTATTTTGGGAAGCGCCATTAATGCCACAGAAAACAGAGGCCACCGCAAATATTTAAGAAAAAAATTTAATTCAACCCACGATATCAGATGTTTTACTTGTTTACATCTATCAAACAACTGTCCCCATGAGATGCCAAGGAGAGAGCTCCCATCAACCCGACAGGGGCTCTACCTCAGGCCTCAGCAAGCAACACTGGCTTCTTTAAAGATCACACAGCAGTCAACATTTTATCAGCACTCAACAAACAAGTTAAGGTTTGGCTTAAATCTGAAGGTCTCTCTCCCTTTGGCATATTCTGGGATAATAGAACAAATGTCAAATCAGTACAAGATGGCATATTTACAAAATTGCACCCTGTTTTGCATAACCTAACGATGCAGCAGTTCTTAAGGATTGAACATTTCAAATCTGCTAGCAGAAGACTGCCAAATCTATGACTGTTTCGTACACTTGCCAAAAGCCTATCAAATTCTGAGCAAAATGCAAAATAAATCTCCTCTACAAGTTAAATCAGTCCCTTCTGTGTGTTCCAGGCTGCCCTCTTCTCCTGGCAGCAAGGCGCAGGGCTTGGGCCGCGTCCCCTTGCCCTGATCTTAGGATCTTCTCTAATGGGCACTCATCAGCCCATGCCCTCCCCAGCCGTATGTCCTGCCTCACTGGCCCCCATTTGGCCTGCTCTTCCCACAGCCCTTCTTCCGTGGGATCGCTCAGTTCATCGGACCTGCTTCACAAAGCCCCAGAACCAGCCCCGCCGGCTGCTCCTGCACCTCCGGGGGCGCTGCCTCGTCCCTGTCTGCAGCCCGCGGACAGCACCCCTCCACCCTCCCATGTCTTTCCAGGTCGGCCTCAGAGACATGCCCTCTCCCCTTCCTACCCCGCAGAAGCTGTATGTTGCATAACAGTTCCGTGCCTCAGTTTCTCATCAGTAAAATCGAGATACGTTTAGAGCACTTATTTCCGAGGATTTGAGGGAGAATTCGACCTAACGGTTCGTGGAAAGAGCTGAGAATAGTGTTTGGTTATAAAAGCGAGCACTGAATAAAGGAATGAAAAAGAAATGAGCACATGAAGCTGGATCCTCCTGGTTGCAGGGAGGACACCCTGCCCTCTCGTCTCGGTCACTTCCCTTCCCTCCCTACGTGCTGGGAAGGCACCGAATTCCTGGGCCTCCACAGTCACAGTCGGGAAACCACTGGCCTTGTTCATACATACTAGGACCTTGTCTTATTTAAGTTCATGCTTTATTTCCTACTCTCTTTTAATAATCACCCGAAACTCCGTGGGCATGTTTCGTCTCACCGACAAGGTCATGTCTGAACAGTTAAAACACCAGCCACCTTAAATGGGTCAATGAAAATCTACCACATGTTAATATTTTTACTAGACTTGACGAGAAGGCCACACGACAGACTGTTCGGCAGTGTTGGTCAGGAACCCGCTGCGCAAGGTGTGGCCACATTGTTGTCTGCTCACTACTGCTGCTGGGGGTGAGGGCTGTCTCATCGGCTGATCCCTTCGCTCTGTCACCATCTTTGCGGTGGACTGAGACTCACTGCAGAAGAAAACGTGTGCACAGAGCAACACTGCCTATTCGCTGTGTTTGTCACCCCTACATTTTGGCTGCCGACTTAGAGCTCCTGGGACCATCTGACTGAGTTCTAAGGAGATGGACACTTTCTTCTTTGAGCTCCTGGCATCCGTTAAAAGCTCTCCTGCCTTGCCACTCGGGAGCGGTGGGTGAGTCTATAAAAAGAGCCTGATGGAATCATTGCTTTTGTCACTGTGTTGGGTTCCTTCAAGCCTTGGTTCCCGGGTCCACTCATTTCTACTACAGTTTTGTAAGAATAGGAAGGGTACTCTCTCTGGGATTCATAAATGGTTCCAGCAGACCCTTTCCTACATGGTAAGCAGAACTTTTATTTCACAAAGTGTGCTTCTCTTGGCCATGTGGGTTTCTCTAAATTCTTCCAAGTACAGGTCATCCATGACCTAATGATGAATCCTTTTTCTCATTTGAGTTTTATTAAAAATTGTATTCTCTTCCAAAGGCGATAATGCTGGCTATTTCACTGATGATTTATCAGCTGAAAACATGGACAAAGATCAGGGCCTTGCATCTTGCACACGCTTTGGGCATGTCTATCCTGGAGGTGCTGAGGGAGTCAGTTGGCCTGCGTAAATGGGGATCATTTTCACAATATGTCCTTCTGACCCAGGAAATGCACAGGGCAGGGAAAGTCTCTAAGAAATTCTCTTCTTTGTCTTTTTAAAGAGGGTGGGAGTGTGGAGGGAGGGAGAAAGGAAGGGAAGAGGGGGGAGAGAGAGAGAGAGAGAGGAGAGAGAAAGAGAGAGAGAGAGAAAGAGAGAGAGAGAGAGAGAGAGAGAAAGAGAGAGAGAGAGAGAGAGAGAGAGAGAGAGAGAATAAATATAAACCACCTGGGAAAGAAAAGTAAAAGAAGATGGGGTCCAGAGGGGCAGCTGGGGCCTTGGAGGAAAATAGAATCTTTGAATATATTCTTGCCAGAGACAAAAGCACAGGCTCATTTGAAAAACAAAGGAGGGCAGCTTTATTCTAAAGCCTGCTGTGCACCAAATATAGGCACTTAGATTCAGCTCTCCACACTCCGAGGAAGCAGTGCACCAGGGTGGGAAGAACCGTGCATGCATTTGCCTCACTTTCCCCTGCCCGCCTTAACTATTGCCCACCCAGAGAGTTCCTCCGAGTAACACATTGGGAACCTTTAGCTCCCTGGTACTGGCAGTTTTAATGTGCCCATTGCCAGCAGTGAATTGTGTGCCAAGAAAACCCGACTCCTGGCGGTGGAAGGATTAAACAGTCCTCGGGTGCCATCTGTGCAGTGAATCGAGGAGTGACTCTGTGCACCCCGTGTGCGTGTGTTGCCAGTGGCAGTAGGAAGTGACTTCTGTTTACACGACTACCTCACGCAGCGGAACACCTGGGGGACAGGTGAAAGTGGCCACCGCAGTAGGTTGAGGAAGAGGGGACAGTCCTGAGAATGAGGAGCCTATCGGAAGGTCTAAAAAAAGATAAGATGGCAGATTAAGACTAATTGTCCGCCGGGGGAGGGTGGGTTAAAGAGGACACCCTGTTGGCGGATGTTCAGCTGGGTGCCATGGATTTCCTTAGATGTCAGGGTCTGGACTTGACCACGTGCTTCTAGGTTCAAAGACTTTTCAAGAAGGGATATAAAAAATGAACTTTTGACTCATCATCCACCAGCTTCTAGAGTCAGGGTTAGGGTCCTGGGCAGCAAACCCTCTGTTTTCAGGAGTTTTTAGTACATTGGGCCAGCGGAGAAAGCCCTTTGGCTACCTATTCCGCAAACATGGTGTACCAGGGGAGGGATGGTTTTCCAATGTCAGCATCCTGGTCGAGTCATTGACAAGAAAATTCCTTCGTAAAATGAGAGAAGCGGGGGAGACATGCAATTTTTATAAGAATGTTTCCCTCCAAAGAATTTAAAAATGAAACCAGGAAAGCTGTAAGGTTTATACTTCATACTAGATAATCCAAACAGTACCAGGTTGCGTAAAGCCGTCAATAGCTAACAATACTGCAGAGGGAAAAGGGGGGTCACACCAACTATGAGTCCAAGACAGATATGCAGAGGATTGGCGAGGTCTGAGGGAGATGTCACGGCGTTCAAAGGGGTGCTGCTCCTCTGGGAGAGCAGGACAAGGCTGACAGATGGCCACGGGGAAGAAATGCCACTCCAGGCAGGGGGGAAAGAGGACTCGGGCGCACAAAGGAGAGGCCCCTCCAAATATTCAGAGAACAGTGAACAGTTCAGGTAAACGGGGCCATTGTAAGAAGGGCGTTGAACACCTGGTGGAAGCTGAGCACACGGGAAAGGTCCATTAAGGTGCTGGGGGAGTCTCACAGCTCTGCAGGGTGTAGGTGGGGTTATTGCAGTAAAAGGGGAGATAGTGGTGTAACAGCAACAATGTGGTTAAGAAGAAGGGAAAGGGTGTCTGAAGTAGAGTATTGGATGTGGAGAAGAAAGAGTGGGAAGAATTAAGCCCAAAGTATCATGTGGGACAATGAGCAGAAATGGGGACAGCCCGATCTGTGCACCTTGCCTTACAGTTTGTTACTTTTCTGTCTTGACTGAAAAACACACGCAAACACAGACATATTCCCCTGCCCACCTCTCCCCCACCGGCCTCATTAAATACGGTTGAAAGTAGGAGGTAGAACTACACTGTCCATCTTTATGTTGCAAAACTAGAAATTTTGAGTTTTATTGTGTTTTGATTAAATGGCTTAGAATGCATAGTAAAAACATCTTACAAAAATGTACAAATAATGCTCAGAGAAATGTATCAATATGAAACCTGTATCTTGATAATTGTAGCACAGATAAATTGTTCACTTAATTTATTCTTGGGTCCTCCCTCCCTCCCTCCCTCCCTCCCTCCCTCCCTCCCTCCCTCCCTCCCTCCCTCCCTCCCTCCTCTTCTTTCTTTCTTTCTTTCTTTCTTTCTTTCTTTCTTTCTTTCTTTCTTTCTTTCTTTCTTTCTTTCTTTCTTTCTTTCTTTCAATTGTCCTGAAGAGTTTGGAATGTCCTTTGGAGAATGTAAACATCAGATGATTTGCCTTGTCACCTGAAGTTTCAGGGGTTTTGACTAACATGACCGAGTAGGAATATTTTGTGTAGGCCACAGTGCTGGAAGGGTCCCTAGTACTTGGATGAACACTTCCATCTACATCAGTGTGGCTCTGGCTTTGCGGCAGCATCCACATGAGCACATGGGTCTGCCAGGGACAGTGGCACCAAATCCCATTTCAAGTGCCATAACCCATCTGCAGAGCAACCTGGGTCTCCTATCAGGCAACCAGCCTGTTGGAAGCTTTTGAGTAATGAGGGTTCAAGGGCTTTTCAGGATATTGCCCAACTGTACCTACTCCTTGCCTGCGGTACTCAAATCTTGTGTGAAAAAAGAAGTGTACATATTTAGCTATGAATAAAAAAAATTACAGGCTCATACATTTATCTTAATTATGATAATACCATAAAAATTTAATATATAGCTAAAGGTTTAGAATCTGGGCTCCAAAAAATATGCTGAATTTGACATGTTTTCTAAACTGAAATTTTTTATAATTAAAGTAATTATCTGGTGTTGCTTTGTATTTCCAAATGAATGCATATTGCGACCTATATAGCATACGATCAAGATTGTAATTATGCAGAATATAGTAGGGAAGTTACTGGAGTATCTTTAACCACCTGTGTTACTTCTTTCAAGAAGAATTTTGTTGGAAATTAAAAAATATATATATATTTATAGAATAGATAGAGTTTAAAATGTTCTTAAACCACTTCTAAGTAGGTTATAAGATGGATCTTCATCTCTTACCTTGTAATGGTCAAGGTTGTCATTTGGAGTTGGGAGGCCCATGTAACGTTCTGTGTACACTGAGTCTATGATGGAGAAAAGAAAAAGTTAATTCATACAATAAAAACATTTCTTCCTTTTACTGGATTACTTCATGTGCTTTGGTATGTCTTAACTCTGCGTAGGTCTATAGTGTTACCCTCAGGGGTATCTACTCCAGATCATTTTTATTTGGCTTCTTAATGTAGTCAGACACCTGCTCAGACCCCTGCCTTTTCATACCCTGCCCTAGCCGATCCCCACGGGGCCCCCATGATGAGGGCAGAGAGAGATGAGACGATCTAAAACCCAACCAGTAATCCACCTTCAGGAAAGTCATATGTGAAGTGCTAAATGGTCAGGACTCAACATTATCTTCTGATCGCCACGAAGAATCTTAAGTAGGAAGTCACTTAATGCTTCAATTGTCTTGAACGTTTTGGTCCTAACACTAATGGTCCTATACACTAATTTATTATATGCTATTACCTTTTAGAAATTGCTAATAAAGTTCAATTACTAGTTGCCTACTTAAATAATATATTTTTTGGCAGGTTGAAATCACTAATCAAAAATCCAGTTATCATTTATTAGCTGTATAACCCCACATAGGCTCAGCTACGTCATCATAATGCAAGTTAAACATTCGTTTTCTTTCATTTTGTGGAGAGGCCTCAATTTTGGTGTTGTAGTGGTTGAGTAATATGAAACAGATTACATTAATATCTGTCTGCTGAAATGACAAAGCTATTTTAGCTATATATATGGCAGGAAAATATATGCGTTATTGGTTTGGTTATTGGGGTTATTAAACATATTTTTGCCCTATTTAAAAAAATTAAATCATATATCATATTTTTCATATGTGATGTGTATATCATATCATATATATCATATATTATACATTATACACATCATTATATGTGTATCCTAAAATATCAGTGAGAAAATTTACTGTAGCTGAATTCTAATATAACTTTAAAAATCTGAAATAACTGCTTTGAAAGATGCTCCCTTAAATAACCAGATTACAGTAATAAATAAGAATAGTATGTTTCCCTGGCCAGTGTGGCATAGTTGATTAGAGCATCATCCCATGCGCCAAAGGGTCCCTGGTTCAACTCCTGTTGGGGCACAAGCCCGGGTTGCGGGATCGATCCTTAGTAGGAGCCGGGCAGGAGGCAGCCCCTCGATGTCTCTCTTTCTCTCTCTCTCTCTCTCTCTCTCTCTCTCCTTCTCTCTCTTTCTCTAAAATCAATAATAATAATAATAAAAAGAATACATTGCCATTGTATCAGACAGGTATGCTTGAATTACACTGTAATTGTATCAGTATTTTAATACTGACCTCATTGGTTCTTTAAATGAATGTATCATCTAAACCATAAGCTTAAGCAACTTAGTCTTTTTGTATGACTGGCATTGTTGATTAAAAACTACATTGATAATGAGTGTTATTTGTTTATTATGTCTTCTTTTGACATGCCATTTCTATGGAAGTCTAAATATTTTCCCCCAAAATTGGTAAGAGCAATATTTTATCATTTTTATTACAAGTACAGACTATATGTAATTTTACATACCTAGAGGATACTAAAATAGAAAATATAATATTTTAAAGGATACTTTATAACGTCTTCATAAAATGCTCATGTGTGTGTGTGTGTGTGTGTGTGTATGTATGTGTGTATAACTTAGGTTGTATATTTGATAGGGGGGAAATGACCTTTAAGGGAAAAATAAATATTTCTTCAAATAGCCACAGACTTCAAATTTTCTTGTCCTAGAACATAATAACACTTTCTTATTATGCTGACCAAACTTACAAATGTAAGAAGATATGACATCTTTAAAATAATATTTTAAAAATGCATAATGCAGTTGTAAACTTTTAGAAATATTCCTTGAAATATCATTTATATGTTCTTTTATTTAATCTGTTTTGTAAAATTGTTCAAATTTCCACATATATAAGAATTCTAGAAAGTTCCTATGTGTTAGGTTGATCAATATACATTTAAGGAAGTTCTCATTACATGTCTCTAAACTCACCAAGTGTGTTTAAATTACTTTATTGACCACCAGAGGTCTCCAAAAACAAGCCATCCAATAGAAAGATTATTAATATCAAACAGAAAAGTGGAAACAAATTCATGGTGTGAGGATCAAATCCTAACTATGTTCTCCAAAGACATTTTTTTTTAAAACAGAAAGATAGCAATGTATTTTTTTACATTGGCTTCTCTTGATTTGGAGAGGTTTTAAAAAGGATTTTCTACAAGATTGGTACTACCATATGTTAGGACATAAAATATCTAATGAGCATATTCATTATCAATGATTCTATCCTTACACGACAGAAAAGACTTGAGATGGGGTCAGAAGAGACACAGAAAAAAATTGATTTCACCACCTCTCACTTTTCCCTACCTACTGGTGCACTGCTCACTGCCCCCACCTCGGGAAATTATAGTCTTACACGTGTACGCCTGGTAAAATGATCTCTTCTCAGTGGTAACGATGATAGTCTAGAGTAGCTCTCACTTACTTAGAGACTATGGAGAAAAACAAATCTCCCAGGAATGCCCGTCTCTACTCTCCTCTTTCCACCCAAAGCTCTACTTACATTTGACCTTTACCAGAAGAGAAAGAGATGCATGCTTCTTTTATTCTGCTAATATGTGAAGCCCAATACTCAAGTTAGAATAAAGATAAAGAGGGCTTATTTATCTGCAGAAATGCAGCACTGAGGCTGTCTGGGCATTTGGAACCCAGAATTTGTTCATAAGATTTGTTGGTAAGAGATTTGGACAACAGAATTTGTTGATAACTCAATGTGTAGATAACATATAATACCATCCAGCCTTTCACAATAGCAGAATAAGGGAGATTGTTTTCTTATAGATATCCATAAAGTACGTGTGAGAGAAATCAGCTTATTCCCTGTAGATACACTGAAACCCAGGAAGCAATGGTTTTGTCACTGGAATTTCATGTTCAACACTCAGTTTCTCTTTGTACTTGAGAGCAGTTACGTACCGTAGAACTCCCATGCCGACACGGGCGCCACAGATATTCCACACTTGAACACGCCACTGCCTGCTCCCAGGACCATTGAGGTTACGTACCCTCCATATGACTAAGAAATGGAAATGGTTATTTTTATGGAGGTAAAGGAATTAAGAACATATGGTAAGCGAGTTGCAGTTTCCACATTTCTCACATCTTTATATACTGTGTCTCTTTAGAGAGAAAGCATGGAAGAGGAGGCTTAAATTGGCCTTAATTGGACAGTCTCTAAAGACTACATTTTCAAAATCCTAGTCCCTTTTCTTAGTAGGTATAAAGAAAAAAAGCATTGAAAAATAGCTGGGTAGTACCATTAAAAACACACACACACACACACACACACAATAAACACTAAATCTTTACTGACCTTGACTCATGAGAAAAGTCTCCCTCCCTCCCTTTTCCCTTTCTCCATTTCTCCTTCTCTCCCTCTTTCTTCCTTTCCTCACCTCCTCATCATAATAAACAAAGGTGTAAGTATGGCTAGTAGAAATTCGTTGCCTATATAGAGATCTAAGACATTTTATTTAGACCTCCTTAGATTAAAATGATAGGCAGAATTTTCATCTCCTAACATTCACATACAAAAAACATATTCTCCTGCTCTGGGTTGTGTTGATTAAGAAATGTGTATAGACAATCATCAGCCAAACGACTACTCACCCAGCCCCAAATTGCAATTCGCTTGTCATCCACAAATCCCATTTTTGAAAATTGTCTAAAATACATGGAAGGAATCCACAAATTAGTATTACACTGTGTATAGAAAACTAAGATAAATGCCCAAACATGAACCCTAACATTTGTTCTCTATTTTATTCTATTAGAAATTAAGACCTATGACTGCCAGCAATCAAATAAACACCTGAGACCAATGTCTGTTGTTTTTAACTTATGAGTCAGATGAACAAGGTTTACTTTTGTTGGAGTCCATAAAAATCTTGTGTGTGTGTGTGTGTGTGTGTGTGTGTGTGTGTGTGTGTTACATGATTCACAGAAAACAAATCCTGGCAGTTTTTTTTCACAGCTTTATATAAAAATTTGCAGCCCAGATGCACTTTTCTTTACATAATTGAATTTAAATCTCTCCAGATGTTTTTCAGTTTGAGAGAGGCTGCCCCTGCTATGAAGAAGTATAGGGGCATGGAGAACATCTGGGTAGGGCTTAGAAATGTATCTGAGCTCCCTGCCTGAGACCTTGAAAACCATGCTCTAAATAAATCCCTTCTAATGCCGGGTGTTGATTAGTTAGCTCAGCACCATTCAATCGGAAAGACATTTTCCTTGAGAAGTCTTTTTGCCACAAAATTGAGTTCAGGATAGGAATCCAGGTAATGAAAGGAGAAAAATGTTTTATGCTAAAAATGTTTATCTTTGCCTTACATCAAAAGATAATTTATTTACTTTTTAAAAACTTAGTAATTGGGACACAATTTTGTAGTATTGAGGGGCGTAAGAAACCCTTGCTTTGACCTATATGTGACTTTGAGAATCTATATTTTCAATTGATGATATATCTTAGGCTGCCCTGAGTTGAGCATTATTAGTTAAGCAATATTATGAAAATTTTTAATGTATTTTTGAACTTATCATTTTCTTCGTGTAAATGTTAGAAACTTAGAACATAAATGTACAAGAATGTGCACCAAGTCATGAGGGTATAAGTTGATAAATTTTTACAAAGATATAGTGCTTATTATCACCCAGTCTGCATCATTTCTCCTTTTACTGGATTCTATAAAAAGTTTACCTAAATTCGTGCCATGGTTTTGACTTTTTATAAACTGGGTCGTGCAGAATGTATTCTTTTTTGCCTGGCTTCTTCCTCTCAGCAGTCTATGAGATTCTTCTCTGTGGTTGTGTATAGTTGTGTATGTGTTAGTGGCTGAAAAACTATTCCATTGCATAAACACACTGCATCTCATTACTTTTTAAAACTGTGGTTATATATTGTGGACACTCAATTCTATAATTTTAGGGCTTGTGTAGGTCAGACTTGAGAGGCTCTGGAAACTATGACTTTTCTCACAGAGGACCAGGCTGGATAAATAAACGTTTGTTTTATAAAATATTACAGCTTCATTCTTGAACAAATCTGTCCTCTCTCTAATCTAAACCTCTCCTTTTTTGGTTTTGAGGAAAATAATTAATCATTAACGTTGGTGTAAGGGATTCAGGGGTACTCAATAAATTGACATCTCTTCAGTTGTTCCTTTTCTTAAAGGCATTTTCTTCCACCCATTTATTCACTCATGATTTTTCTGAATTTCCTGGTTTATTATTTCACAATATTATTATTATTATAATTTTTTTTTGTACGTGCCCCTAGCGGGAACCGAACCCGGGACTCTCTGGTCCACAGGCCAACGCTCCAACCGCTGAGCCAAACTGGCCAGGGCTGATTTCACAATATTATTTTAATGCATTGTTTAAAATTGATTTTTAGCAGGAGAGAAAGGGAGAGGGAGAGAGAAACGTTGATGTGAGAGCGAGACATCGATCAGCTGCCTCCTGCACACGCCCTCTGGGGAATCCAGCCTGCAACCCAAGCATGTGCCCTGACCAGGAATCCAATTGGCAACCTTTCTGTGCATGGGACAATGCCCAACCAATGAGCCACACTGGCCAGGGCTCACAATATTATTTCAAATCACCTCCTATTATGCTTCTGCAGACATACAAGCACTTGGTTATAGAAACTCAGTAATTACATTTACCATTTGAATGCAATTGACTGTAATAGTTAGAGTGAGACCTAGATTCAGATCCTGACTGACCTTGGAAAATTACCTAACCTAGGAGCCTCCATTTCTTTACCTGAAACATGGAATACCATCATTTACCTCTCAGGTTAGCTATGCAACTTCAGTGACAATGAAGGTGCAACGTTTCCCATGTTACACTCACTAATTAAGGAGTAACCATCATTTATAATTAAAATCTCTCTTAAGTCAGGTCACGTCTATCCATAGTACCACAACTGGGGAACACAAGAATAAAATGTGATTCATACTTTATGAAGCGCTTATAATTGTGAAAAATGAGGGTTGCGCTCCACAATTTTCCCAAAATTAGATGAGGAGTAATCCTCATCCAGCCGGCTCTGGGAGCCACTCCTAAGACTTCATAGGTTTTGCCTCCTCCAGTTTAAATGAGCACTGAACTCCTCTACTTATTCCTGACTGTAGGGATGGTTTGCTTGCTTCATTAGATGTTTACCTAAGTGCATATTTATCCCTCAATCTGTCCATGTGTTTGATGAATTTCAAGTAGCACACATGTCAATTTCTTTTCTAGAGTCATGTACAGACAGGGATTTAGGAAATATCCTTTTTCTAATTTTATATAAATCTATAATGACATAGTTTTTTAAAATCTAAATATGATTATCTTCACCAAAAAATCCATCCCAAAGATGAAAGATTATAAATTCATGCCAGGACACTTTAAATTATTTACACTTTAGGAATTTAAAATATAAACTGGGTGGGGGGAATCAGATGACCTTCGAATGTATCTCCTAGTCACTCACCTGGCTGCTTCAATTTGATCTTCAACTTCAAGTGTCCCCAGTCTTCTGTTGATTGCGTGCATGATCTTATCTCCTTGGTAACCACTTCCTCTGCCATCAAAGCTAGCTACTATAATATTTTCTGTACTTGCAAGGTAAGTAGCCCAGTTGAGTGTGAAGGTGGCATCTGCTTTTTGACTACAGGGGCCTGCATACCTGTGAAAAAAACCCACAACTTTTTAGCCTGTGTGGTTTTCCTGCATCGAATGAGGAGTGCTTGCATTCTATTCCTTGTGGACAAGAAGTGTGCACCTTTCCGATCATGAGCCTGAAATCGTGCCAGCCACCAAGGTGTTCACAATAGGCCCTCTACTACTTGGCAACATAACTATAACGGCTGTATGTTTCCTTCAAAGATGCCCATCAGTTTCATCTTTGAAACTGTTATCAAACAGACTTCATGGACCAACATTTTCTAAGTCGTATATAACTTGGAAATCAAAGAAATAAATTCTCTAATAGTTGGGATAGGAGAGTTATGTTATGAAAAAATGATGACAATAAATGCAGCTTTGAAAATATCTTTCCATCTCAGCTTACAAACATTCCTACACTAGAGTGTATTTCTTAGGTTGGAATTTCCTTAAGACTTTGACTACGCATGACATTTCCTTCACTGTTCAGTACCATGTTGCACACTACAGCTCCCAAAATCACTGGGGAATGGACCACAGTATGAATGAGCACAATTCTTTAAATCTTCAAAGGAGAAAGTAATAGGCTATTGGAAATTGGATATGTTGTTTGGCATTCTCCTTATTAGCAAGTTTAACTCCCTTGTATCTGCAATCTTCACAAGCTACAACTTACCCTACACACAGCTGTACATAAAATCTCTCTCAAGCCCTCCCATTTCCCTTGGTTAATTAAAAGAGGCTCTCCCTGCCTCACTCATTGCTTTTCATTTAAATATGTCACCTTTGCACCATCTATAGGACTCCTGGACCCGAATCTTGTCCAATAATTCTTCCCTCCCCAGACCATTTCTTGTACTCAGCTGCTCACTGTCCCTGCACAGGTTTGGACAAATCCTGCTTGCGTGCCCTTAGTGACATTTTCCTCCCTCTCCTTAGAGACGGCAGATGGCAGTCAGAAGAACTTTAGTTGTACACAAATTATTGTATTATTTTAATTATAAACTAAATATTACAACAGTCTAACTTTGAAAAGAAGGATGCAGTCATGCATCTCTTGGGCACGTCCACATTTCTTAACCACATGTGAAATGCTTTGGTCCTTCCAATGATATTAAATTTGGTAAAGCAATAACTTCCCTTAATAAAGCAGTTATAAATCAAGTTACCCAACACACCCTACCATTAAACAACATCATTTATAAAAATAGAAACAACATCATTTATAAAAATAGAAAACAAAGATTTAGACATCTAAAGATGTGAAGAGGAAAATCATTGAAAAGAAATGGGCACTAAATTTACCTCTTTTTTTAGACTTTCTTAATGGAGAGGCCTAATCATTACCTACTGGGGAGTCAAAGAAGATGAAATATCACTCTTTCCTAAAGACTCCTTTTTAGAATTGGGAGTAAAGCCTAAAGCAAATTAGTGTCACTGTAGTCAAAACTAGGCTTAGTGAAAATCAAATAGCACATCTGGAAGTTTAAAATACTTATTTTTCTTTGAGCTTTTATTTTATTTCATTTTTAGACAGGAAACTGTAAACACAATGGAACGAGGCTGTGTCTGATGCTAATATGTGTGTTCTTCCTCCTCCTCCTCTCTTTCTTTCTTTTTGTGCTCGTAACAACGGAACAGTGATGATGTTCCTGAGCTGCTTCCACTTTCTCCTCTAGATAATGGGCCCAACAGAACCCACCTGTGGGTTTGCTTTGTGAACAAAATGAGGCAGATTACCTGGCACACAGCAGGCACCCACCCCGTTTGTTGTTTTGTTTTCACTAAGGGAAATGAGTCAAGCTAGGACAGGAAGACTGGCATTGTGTGTGGCATTGTGGGTGAAGTCAGCACAGTTTTAGAAGGACTGAAGTTAAATGTATTCCTAATAATTATTAAAGATATTTTACAAAGCTGCCATGTTTAGAGTTCACAGTTACTGCTCAAAGACTTGTGATTTCAGAACTTTCTTTAAGATTTGAAGAAGTTTGGATTATAATGAATACTTTCTTATATCACATATGTTCTTTTCACCAAAAAAGAGAAGGCAAATACCAGGCAGTGATATTTCAAGAACTAAAGAAAAACCTGATGTCCCACGAAAACAAAGACAATCATGGGAAATGTTTTGGCCAAGTTTAAGGGTAAGGAAACTAAAAACTGCCCATTATAATGTCCACAGGGAAAGGATGAAAATGGGGACCTGAGATTTTTTTTGGAAACCCCTTGGACTTCAGGGAAACTAATCAGAACAAAATCCATGTGCTATCATTAGAAAGAAGGTAGAAGACACATGTTTGGGTTTGTGAATGCAAAACAGAAGGAGAAAATAGCAAAGCTGCTGCACAATGACCCAGGAAGAGAGAAAGGATGTGTTTTGCTTTATTTTTCAGTAAGCTACCCTGGGGAAAAACAGGTGTGCAGTAGTTAACCTCTAAATTTTTAGTTCCCTCCTCTTGAATACTTACACATCTATTAGTAGAGGATATTTCTTGAATTTATCAAAATGAGGAGGCAAGATCATCTGATACCAAAATTCTAAACAAACAGAAAGATTAATTAGTGAATTAAGAACAATGATTAGCATATGATTTTGGTTCCTTATCTGTTAGTGAAAAGTCATATCTAGAGTTTAACAATTTGTTAAGTTAGAATAGAAAAGGAAAGGGAGCTGCTTGTATTCAGCATATTTTTAAGAAATAAAACCATTCTCGTTCAGGTTAAAACACTAGATCAAATTTAAACAATGAAGTTGTTTCTAATGTATGTATTAAATACATCAGTGCCTTGTAAGATAAAAGTGCATTTTAGAATTGCTAATGTCTTGTTTTTATGATTCTGTTCTTTGGCATCTGATCTACTTATCTAGTTTGTTTACGGCTTATGTTCTAATTTGCCTCCAAAATGTTTTCCTCTTCTTGAATTTCCTTGAAGATGTTTAGAATGTTTCATTGGCCCCAACTCTATGTTAAAATTCTGACTTAATAACATTTTTGTAATTCTTACTGCCATCCCAGACCACAGAGCAAAGCCGAGTTCCCATTTTCAGCTGTGGCTTCACAGCATGAAACCAGGTTTACATGCAGCAAACTGTTCTGTGTGTTCTGTGTGATCTTTCACAGATCTGTTTAAATCTCTGTGCTTGACTGAACATCAGTTCAATACAATTTGTACCTAAATAATGAATCTGTTTCCCTGACTCCCAAATTCAGGATGATGAGCTAGGCTAATAACTCTAAAAAAGAAAAAAAAAGAGAATTGTTTCATATTTTAATAAGATTGCCTTCAGTTTCAATAAATTTAACCTGCAGAAAAAATCTTCCCTATCTCTATAGCTGTTTCTTCCTTACATTTATCTTTGTGTGTGTGTGTGTGTGTGTGTGTTTGTTTTTTTGTTTTGTTTTTTGCTGTGTTTTGTCATAATTATTTTAGTTGATGAAAAAAGAACAATTTAGGAGTCAAATTCTTATCTAGATTTCTTTTCATTTTGTATTTCACTGATTATTTTATGCCTTTTGATGAAATATGCTTAGAAGAACAAAAATGTAGTGTCTATCACATTTTGAACTATAAGTTGATCATCATGTTTTTAAGGAATAGGCCAAACCCACCATTTGATCTCCCTTTTGTTTGAATCAGCACTCGTTGATTGGAACAGTTTTAGTCCCACCTTTGTGAAGATGCAGTCAGTTCTCTGAGGGGCTCTTTCTAATCCCTAGTCCTGTCTCCCTTTGCTGGCTCCTCCCAGACTCTCCCTGGACCTTCCTTTCCTGGAGTTGGAATGCTATCACCACCTCCCAGCTGGAGGCCCCCCCCCCCCCTGGCAGCTCCATCCCTCACTCTCTATCAGGTTATCCATCCAATCCTGTGGTTTCCTTGACCTAAAACCTTCTGGAGCTCCCTGGTGTTTCCGGCTGAAATAGGAGGTCACTTGTCAGTGTTCACTGCCCCTGCACCTGGAAGTCCAGTCCGTGCTCCAGAACGCGAAGCCCTCGCCGGGGAAGCCTGGTCCAAGGGGAGCAGCTTGGGCAGTACTTGGGAAATTCTTACAAACTCAGAATCCTGGGCCCACCCTGACCACTATGTGCATGTTCACAGGGTCCCGGTGGCTCGTGTACGTTCAGCCTGAATAGCACTGCTCCAGGCTGTTCTCCAGAAGGACCCACACTTTCCTGCCATTGACCACTAGATGAGTTGAGTCTTTTCTATTACTGTCTTCGTGGATTCCCGCCTCGCTTATAAGTTGTCAGCCCTTCGAAAGAACAAGCAAGCAAACAAAAATGAACAAATTACAAGATTTCCTACTCATTGCTCTTAGTGGTCCCTGAATATAATCCATGATCGAGCAACTAAGCTAACTCTTGAGGCTAGAGGGTTAGGAAAAATTCAAAATCTCTCTCCTGAGACTGATGTTTCAACATTTTATAACCAACCCTGATTTTTTTGTACAATAATCTCAGATTTTTTTTTATCTCTTTGGATTAAAGTATGGATATTATTAAGTTAAACACACAATTAAGACATTAGGAGAACAGAGTTACTATAGAGATGAATCATGCTGTATTTTAAGACAAAAGAATGTAAAACCAGCAGTTCTTGTGGCAGAACATTTCATGGGAAAATAACCTTAAAGTAGATTTATATACACTCTGAAATACATATTTTTAGATCAAGTTATAATATTTATTTTTGTTTTCACTGGTGTTTTCATGAAGCTTTCTGTTCCAAGAGAAATGTAACTTACTCGTTTCATTCAAAGTAATGTAGTCCAGCACTTTCGATGGCATCTTGATGTCCTGCAGCATGTCATGCAAAGCTGTATTATTTTCCAGGACTCTCAGCTCTAGACAAATGAGATGGCGGTAATTCATTACGATGTGAAGAAGTTAGACTGTGCAAAGCAGTAAACAAGTGGACAAGTCACTGATGGGACTATACATGCATCAGGTTATAAACCTTGTGTTCCATGTCACAGTGAAGACACTCTAAAGCCACAGAAAATCCCACCAGCTTAGGTAGACCTTGATCCTATTTACACACACCATCCTAAAAAAGCAAATGAATTGTGAAATGAGAGAGAATAAATACCTTTGTCATTGCTGCTGCTATGCAGAGTATAGAGAGGGAGTTCAGGGCCTGTTAACATAAGCAGGGAAAGATATATTTGAGCATAGTATTCTTTTATTTTGAAAAAAGAAGATAGCATATTTTTCAAAAATAGCATATATTACTATTTAACATTCACAGAATTTTGATACATTTAACTTTGGTAGAATAAATATGATAGTGAATAAGGAGCTTAATAAGTGTGAGCTGTTTTCTCTTCCTTAAAATAAGTGCCATTTCAGTGTGAGTGTGAGAAATATTACCAGAAAGGCAGAGGGCTCAGGAGAATGGAGCAGGAAATAAACTCCTGGCCCTGCTGCTGCCTTGGGCACGTTACCACACCTGTGCCCGATTTCTTCACTGGTGCAACCTATGGCCCCCTCGGAGAGCTGCTATGATTCCTTGCTGCTCTGCACCCACAACCCCGGGCCAGAGCTCTGGAGCCAGCCTCATGCAAGGCAGGGGCGGACTTCCCTCCCCCGCGCCCCGCGGAGGAGTCCTGGAGCCTGTCTGCACATCTGCACTGTGCCCGACTTGGATAAGCAGTTCCTTCCTGGCATGCAAACGTGTTTTTCTCACCCTCCCATATCTTCACTATTTATCCCAACTGTGGGAGTTGCAGAGTGGAAGGTAATGTACAGAAAAGCTATTTTGTGAGCTATTTAATTTTCTGCATTTAGATAATATTAATTGGTACCTCGATCCGAACCACAGCGAAGGCGTTATACAGGCCTGGGTTTGAATTCTGGCCTACCTGTGACTCAGGGCAACATATCTGTGCTTCAGTCTCCGCAGATTAAATGAGGACAATATGAACTACGTTATAGAGTTTTCTTAAGAACCCAACAAGATCATGGATGTAAAACTGGTAGCACAGTGCTTCGTATAAATCACATGACCGAGAGAGGGTGACTGAAAACAGCCACAGTAAAGAGCCATAAAGAAAACTAGAATAGTAAAGAAAATATACTAGTCAAGAAAGATTCAGAGAACTGGTTTCAAGACCTCTTTTTGGCGAGGAACTATTCTTTTCAGAAAAGCCAGTTCTTTCTGTCAGTTTTGAGAAATAAGTTAGCACAGTGCTTAATGAACGAAGGCTTGAGAGGCGGAGGCCTGTGTTCGAATTCTGGTGCCTTTAAACTGTGTGACCGTGGAAGTCACATGGCCTCTCCCTGTCCGGGTTTCTTCATTTATAACAAAGAAAGCAATAATAACAAGAGCAACAGAAGATAGAGCATGAGCAAGTGGGCTGACAGGCACCATCCACATACATTTTCTCATTGAGAAGGGCAAGTACATAAATAAGGATGAAGTGCCTGTTTCCCGTGAGCTCTGTGCTGTGACTGTTTTCAGTCTGAAGCAGGCCTCTTGGTTGAAGGGGAAGGAAAGGTGATTAACTCACCACGTAGACATGAGTGAAGAGGACTTATGATTTCAAGGATTCCTCAGATTCTAAAGGAGAAAACTGAGCAGGGCAGAAAGAATGTTTCTTAAACTGGACACAGAGAGAGAATTCCGGGAGGGAGAAGCTGAGCCGGGAGGGTGGCAAGGAAGTTGTCTAGAGAGAGGAGGGACCCTCTGCCAGGGAGTGGGCGGGAGCGAAACTTGCAAGCCAGGGGATGGAGGGAGCGACTTCAGACAGACGCGCTGCGTACCTGCTGCTGGTCTACCTCCGACGGTCAGTTCAGACTTACCCAAACATCTCAGCTGATAGTACTTTGCCTCTTTACTAAACGATACAGAATAGTACTGACACCTTTTCGGATCCAGCTCACAACTAAGGCACACCACGTTTTTGTGGTTACTTAGTTGGATTCTGTAAAACCAATGATGGAAATTAAGTGTTTGATTAAAGGATAAATGAATGAAAGGAATTGAATAATGTCATATCCCAATATATCAGAATGCCAAAGCAATCCTTGAAAACTTTTAAAGTCAAAAATATACATTAATTGATCCATCACAAGCCTCAAACCTCCCAATGTTTGGAAATATCACAAAGTCATTCCCAATTGTTGACATGCAGATCAATTTATAAAGAAATAAAAGCATTTGAGAACAATTTCAGTTTACTATATTAATTAGGATGTGCCCTCCCCCCAAAAAACAGTCAAGAAATTGTTCACCAGCTTAAAAGACTCAAGTCAACTTGATAGAGATCTTACTTATAAAGATTTCTTCCTCCTGGCATTCCTTTATATTCATTACTGATGTAGTATCTGGGAAGAAAATAAATGAAGTATATATTAGTTATGTTTTTTAGAAAAGTCAAGTACACGCCATTTAACTCAACACCAAGCATCAGTGTGCATACAGGTGCGTGTGCATTAGTGTCTGCCTTTCTTTTACCCTTCTTCCCTGCCCCCTGCCCCCAGAAGCCATTTCCCCCATCATCGCTGAACAGGAGATTCTTTTTATTTAACAGACTAAAATATCTGAATGCAGGGATTGTTCCCTTAATTGAAGTGGCAAGTAAAATCTCAAAAGAAGTCTTTTGTAAGAAAAATTTAACTGGGCAACAAATCTGAAGTCAAGACCCCATTCATCTACAGTGTTTTCCATATTTTCTGGTTTATAACACAAAGTACTAGGGAGCAGAGCCCCATCTTTCTGAGCGTGGCAGAGTCCCTTCTAAAGAGAACCTTCAGAAACTGCTCTGGGCTGCGGCCACATTCTTCCACGATGAGACCAATAAGGAACCACAAACGTGCCTGAACCCTAATGAAAATGAACACTGCCTTTCCCACCCATCGTGGTGGTGGACGCCCTCGGCAAAGCTTTCCATTTTCCAAAGGAAGGCCGAGGCACGGGCAGATAAAATAGCCGCTCCAAGCCTACCAGAAATTCAGTGCCAGTTGGAATTTAACAAAAGTGTTCCGAGATGGTTAAGAAAAAGAGGCTACAGCTCTTCAAATGTAAAGCAGGTAAGAGCAAGAGGTAGAGCTGCTTGGTGGCAGGATATCAAATCTGCTAAGCATATGTGAAAATCATTAAGGCTTCCGTATGTTAAAAAGAAAAAAAAAATTCTGAACGCATTCCAAACAGACTACTCTTTATTTGTACGAGATTTTAGATTTTTCCCTGTTTCTGGGCAAAGAGGGCATGATTTTGAGTACATTTACATCCTAGAATACTCACAGGTAATCGTTGGTAAGGGCTTCTATCCTGATGACTTCCCAGGGTCCTTTTGTGATAAATATGCATTCCTGATGGGAATTTTGTTTTTTAAAAAAGAGGTTGATTAGATGCTCTCTAATTGAGTTCAAGGGCAGAATTAATCATTTCTATCAGGAATTCAGATAATCTCAGGTCTTTTTCTTGGGTCTCACCACCCCATCCACCTTACTTCAGATACGAGGATTTTGAATTAGTCTGATCATATGTATACATTCATCAATTTTTACCAAATGACTTCCACTTTAAATTAGTTAAAAAAAAAAAAAAAGATCAACTTGAAATAAATTGTGTAATACTTACATTCTTATCTATGTGGGAAAGACAAATGTGTTTGTAGCCCTCATTATTGCTCATGATCTTGTAGAAGCTATTCCCATCAGAGGTAAAATGAGGTTCTGCAGGCTTAAACTAGAAAATAATAGAAAGCAAAAAACATGTTAAAGCACATTAGTTTTAGAAATGACAACACCTATGCTTAAAACCCAGGCTTCATGTACTTGCCAAATGAAACTAGAGTGTCTCGAAAGAAAATTCTCCTTCTAGAAAATGCAGACAAAAAGATCTAACTCCTAGAGAATTCTTTTGTGAAGAGTAAATGAGAGAATGCACACAAAGAGGCTTACATAGGGTACGCAATACATAGAAGTGGTTACTGTTACTCTTGGACATCGCTCTTTGTGTGTGCAAAAATTAACATTAACCTTCCAGGTTCAAGAAGCAAATTTCCTCAATGTCGCTAATGTGCTTTCTTGAAACAGACTAATATTATTATTTTTGACTGTTTCAGTTTGGAGGTGGTTTGTAATTTGAGGGATTTTTCCCCCCACTGTTTTTTACACAGATATCTTTTTGAAAGTCAGACTTTGATTAAGTCTTTAACCATTTTTGGACTAGATACTGTAAGAAGTATTCCAGCACAGAAACATTCAGACAGTTATCATTTTATTATAAGACTTTTCCTTTTGCTGAATAAGATCAACAGTGTACCAAAAAAAAATAGTTGTATGGAAATACAGAACAAAATTTCCATTTTTTACAGTTCAATAAAGAGAGTTCTCAGAGCATAATGTTGTTTAAGCAGGAGAGTATCTACCCCAGCCTGGGAGGAATATGTCGCTTTACAACTTCCATTTCCTACTACATTTCAGAGCAGGTAGGAGATGGTCTTTTAAAATTGTTGGTTCACTTCACCCTCGATGTTTCCTCTCTCATCAGCTCCCATTTTGGGAACGAAGGAAAATGCTTCCCTGTTCTCTTTAGTGATTCAAAGCGAATTCATTTATGGAGCACGCTGAGGCGTGCAGTCAGTACACTTGGTGTTCTCATTACAGAGCTCTGAAACACATCCCCTCTCTAGACCTGTGTTCACAGCCTTATCTTTTTAATACATTTCCCTGTTTCCCCTGGATGGAGTTGTGCCTAGTGGAAATGTGTGAAAAGTGGCATCTGTCTGGTTAAATACAGAGAGGAAAAAACATATTTTTTTCAGAGAGTCGTGAGGAAGTGTAGCATGTCTCTTGCCACGGAGGAAACCACTTTTCGTGTTGGCAAACCTCTCCCCTCTGCCCAAAGCCTGAAGGAAAAGGACGTGTGGCCGCTAGTGGAGACCCCAGCCCAGCTGGAGGGGCCGTGTCCCTGAACCAGGGCAGCGGGGCGCTCAGGTCAATACCCAATGAGATGTGAAATCTTGACATGTTTTGTGTCACTTTGTTTCTCTCTTAAAGAGGGTTTAATGGAAGTGGTCATAGAAATTAGGTGCGATTCAGTCTTCATCTTTCACGCGAGGTGCCACGATGGCCGGATGCCTTCACCAACTTGCTTCATTCCGTGGCTGCAGCCGGGTTGGTGATTCCTCAAGGCTCGTGGAGCCCAATGGGGCCAGAAGCCTGAGCCGTCTCTGAGGGTGACCGTGCTTTCCGGCATCAAGCTCTGCATCTGGAGCCCACTGCGGTGTGAATCCACGCGAGTATGATTTGCTCCACAGAGCTGCGTGGGCGATGGGGCGTAGCCACTGAATTTCTGCTGGATGTACAGTGGCCGCATCTTCACGCTCACGCAGGCTGTGGCTGCAAATCACGTTTTCTGCCTCGAAGCACATAGCTTCCCATTTGAGGTCAGCTAGGCAGTCAGCATCTTGGCCGCCTGTCAGCAATGGTTGCTTTTAACACACCGAGAACTCCAGTTTGTCAAGAGTATGTTTTTTGTTTTGTCTGCTCATCATTAAGCTCATGTGTGTGCTTTTCATTAATTTTCCACTTGTCCCCTTACTTTTTCCAACTCAGTATGTTATGTAGTCTCAAAAGCTATCTCTGCAGGGAGCATTTAGATATTTTGAGAAACAGGTCAACAAATATCTGTTATTAGCAAGTAACACAGAGGCCTTGTTGGGTCTGTCTACATATTAAATAGCTCTAAATATCTGAGCCTTACTGCAGAAAAACCCATAACTCTTATTAAATACTTACTCTTCCAACCCAGCCAGTAGTACTTGTTTCAATATGTTGCCGTGACTAGAGAAGGAAAAAGACAAAGGCAGTGTTTTAAAAAGAAGTGAGATATGAATTCAATTCTTTAGTCCTAATTTGTGGTACTATAAGTAAAACTGCACTTATAATAAAATAATTAGTCCAGCCGGTGTGGCTCAGTGGTTGAGCGTCGACCCACGCACCAAGGGTCACCGGTTTGATTCTCGGTCAGGACACATGCCCAGGTTATGGGCCTGATCCCCAGTGGGGGACATGCAGGAGGCAGCCAATCAAAGTTCTCTCTCATCGATGTCTCTATCTCTCCCTCTCACTTCCTCTCTATCGAAAATCAATAAAGGAAAAAAAAAATTTTTTTAATTAAAAACTTTCTCCATTTATATATTTGTATCTGTGTTAGTTTATATAGATACAATTACGTTGTATCATTTACCTTTCTTACCTAGAGCTCTGTCCTGGGTCTAAACACCTGTTGCCCTGGAAGATCTACCTGATTACAATTCAACAGAAAGAACTGGGGATAATCTCATTATCTTTCCTGCAACCTGACTAGCTTGTTCTTACTCCTTCATGCTTCTCCAGGTTAGTGGCCAGTTCACCCAAGCCACAGACCTGGGAATCACTCTAGACTCCTACTCTTCTGAGAGGACAGTTACCCCCTCAGCCCCTCTCACCTAGTTCTTCGACTTCTTTTGCCCTTGTCCACCTCTCCTGCCCCCGTTCGTGGCCTCAGGCTCTCCTCGGTACACAGCCCTGATATCCTGGTTGAGAACCCTGGTGCTCTTCTCCCTTCCAGCCAGCTCTCCACCCTGTTCAACCCCTAGCTTACACAAAGCTCTGTCTCATTATGATCCTCTCCTATTTAAAACCATGAAATAGCTCTCATGTCTTATCAGATGCGTCCAAACTCCTCTGAATGACACCTGAGACTTAGTCTGGATCTCTAACTTCAGTTCTCCCCTTTGTCCTTCTCTCCCAGCACCTAGCCCCATGCACCCCCAGACCCTGCGTGCTCCAAGCTATGCACACTGACAGCCTCTGCTCCTAGGGCCTTTATGCCCTTATTTGCCCAGCATATGGCAACTTGTTCCAAAAGGCTCCAGATCTGTCCTGCAGCGTCTCCCACCCCACTGTGTCTGTCCTCAGTCAAGCTGATCATATTCCTTTGCTCTACATTCCTTTCACCTTGCTTATACCCTTTTAGGGCACATTATCCTAATATTAGGATGGTTTAACTGGCAGGAATCAAAGAACTTGGGGTTTATAGTTTGCATCCTGGCTGTCCTATGAACAGAACAGTTTCCCTAACCTGGGTGCTTAACAAAGGACAATTGCAGGGTGGGACCTCGCCGCCCCCCCCCCCCAGGTGACCTTTCATCCTCTAGCATATTGCTGGTCATGTTGTTTGGACCCCCTGAACTTTCCTTCCAAGAGATGATATCTAAGCCTCAGTTGTATTTCAGCTCCAGGCCCAGAAAAGCAACAGAACCAAACAAATGACCCTATGGCTGACCTCAGGACCAGCTGCATTGGATAATAAACTCCTGCCCTGGCATCAACTCATCAATCAGTGGAGACCCTGACCTGAAAGGACACACTTACAAAGCTGATGAATGTTTTATTAAGATCTTCCCCTGGGACCTCCACCCTTAAAACCCTCAGGGCAGAGGACCCCGTGCAGCCTCCCTCCTGAAGCACCCAGAGCCTTACCTGTCCTTTCCCCTCCCCCTCCTCTTCCCCTCCCCCAGGCTCTCTTTGTCGTCACCTTCCTCACTCCCAGGCTCCAAGGGTCCTTCCTTTACCTCTGTAACTTGTTTCCTAAGCCTATTTATTCTACAAATTACTTCTACCTCTGTGATTTTTCAAATAAATGTTCTCTTATAGTTTGAGTCTTAGTTCTGAATTCCTTCCTAGCCAGACTCAAGTACCCAGGGTGCTGAATCTAGGTCTAGTCTGACCCCACAGATCTAATACCTGGTGCCGTTCCTGTCACCTACAACATATTTAAGTTCTGAAGATGTTTACTGCTTAAAGGTAGTCATTGTATGGTGTAGATTTTTAGCCTCTTGATATTTGTTTTGTTTCATATATACTCAGCCTATTATTCCCCATTCCCTGTATTTTCTGTATTAAAACACATTTCATTGACCTCTCAGAGCCCGGCCCACTTGGACTTTGGAATATTGACATCAAATTCTATTTTCTGGGTTTCCACTCACCACTCTTCCCCAGTGCAGTATCCGTAACTAAAACAGAATGACTAGTGAATGAAAGTGAAGGAGAAGCACCAGCAGATATCAGATTACAGTACCTAAAGGTTAGCTAAGACTTCTCACTGACTCAGGGTCAGACAAAGAACTGAGAAGAATAGAAACTCAAACTTCAGGTCCTGATTCCCAAACATTCTCTCTCTCCTGGTTTTTGCACAGCCCTTTGGTGATGGCACATAGCTTTAGAAGCAGAACATCCCATTCAACCTTACCACGGAGCAATCCCATCTTTTACTGGACCCATCATAGTCACAAATGTCCATTATTGAATAGTTCTGAATCCTGCGGAGCCACTGCAAAGAAATCCTTTCTGGGTTTACCCATGTCACGTCACACAAGTAGTGATCCCTGCAAGGAAGGAAGAAGGAAGGGTAGAATAATTATTTCCAGATCTTGGTACACATAGACATTCTACTCAATAAAATGAATCTCAATGGGAATACAATTTTAAATGGTTATTGAATGTGGTTGTTGAATGCATTTAAGACCATTATAAACTAAAAAGGAATTTTACGGAAAGTAACCTCACAGGGTGATCTGATCATAAATTTCTAACTGGGCAGGTCATGGAGGATAGTCATGCCTCAGGCATATAACTTCTTTAGTAAAAGACTTATCTTTGCTTATCTTAAGCAAGTCCTGCTCAATGTTTTAGTGCATCTAGGTTAACACACCTTTGAAATGTCTCTTTTCAGACCCGTCAGAAGCAAAACCATGCTCAAGAGAGCACATAATCTTATTAACTATCCTGTAATCCAATCACAATCCTGCCAGGCTTTCTCGCACCTTCATGGAGGCTTCCATATGTGCCCTCCTTAATTCCAAATGCATAAAAGAAACTGCAAACTGCCAATCTCCAAAGCTCTTTTTTCTCAGTCTGTTGAGATCTTGCTTCCAGGTGTATCTTCTCTGACTCAAATTAATTTTTATAAAAATTTTCTGCAGGTTATTTCAACGCCATAATATACCTTTTCTTAAAGCTCAAAATGTAATTTAATTTCTTAAAAAATATTTTTATTGATTTTTTTTCCTTCTTTTGTTTAGAGAGAGAGAGGAAGGGAGAAGGAAAGAGAGAGACAGAAACGTTGATCGGTTGCCTCCTGCATGCACCCCCACTGGGGACGGAACCTGCAACCTGGGCATGTGCCCTGACCAGGAATTGAACCGGCGACCTTTTGGGGCACAGGAAAACGCTCAACTGACTGAGACACAATGGTCAGGGGTGTAATTTAATTTTAAATGGAAAGTAAAATAAATCTGACAGTAAAAAAAAAAAAAAAGCAGCTAACAGCATATAACGGTTAGCATATGTGGCTCACACCATGGCTCAGGGTACTTCAAGTCCTCAGCTTGGCCTTTGGTGGTGCCAGGAAGTCAGGGGTGACATTTTCCCATTGCTTTTCTCTCTTGTGGAAACAGTACCATGAGACCACTGACACTCACCGAGTTTGAGTATTTTCTGGTAATTTGATGTGCTTCTCTAAGCAAGTCTTATCTGGGTGAAACCACAGCTGATCTTTTTCTCAATTTCACTTTCAAAGGGGAAAAAAATTGACTCATATCTCTACAAACTCTGAAAGTAAAATAATTATATTCTAAAACACTTCTCAAGACTCAAAACATGAACGATGTGAAGAAATCAAGAAACCTTTTGGTATTTTAAGGTAAATTTCTACAAATAAAGATATCTCGAGCAGTGCAACCTCCCCCCACACATACCTTTAAAAGTTTTTGGAACTACATTTTGATTTGTAGTGAGATGCACGGAGTTCATACGTTACTTTTCTGCTAGCATCCTTAACACTATTTGCTCTCTATATCTTATTTTATTTATCCCCACCTCCCATTGTGATTTTGTGTAACTATTCTTTTTTTCAATTTTCATTATTATATTTTTGTTACAGATGTTTCTCCTCCCCCCTAGACCCCCTGCTCCCCATCCTCCCCCCCCCCCCCAGCATTGCTGTCTATGTCCATTGGTTATGCATACATGCGTATTCTTCAATCACTCCTTTCCACTGTCTGATCAAAGCCTGCTTCCAGTCTGCCCTGTGGCTATCTTCCCTCCCCCACAAATGCGCTGAAACCCTCCCTTCCTCCTTCTTAACAGGCTCTGCCCCTCCCTCCTCTGGCCACTTTGTCCCCTGCAAGTTCTCCCAGGCAGGGCCAGAGCCATCTCATTCCCAGGACATCCCCAGGCCTAGCAGAATACCTCTACAAAGCAGGAAATCACTATAATTCTGAGGGACGCAGCTCTGAAGAAGGGAAAGGAAATCCTACACTGTCCTTTGCAGCCTAAACACTCTGTCCTTCCTCCGAAGTCACAGATCACTTCCCATTTTCAGCCCCTTCACAGACTCTAAATCAAACAGCAAACATTTACCGAGCACTGAGGGTGCACCTGTAACCCCTCACCATTCCACTGACCCCTTTACAGCCGGGGACAGTGTGTTCATGGCACCCAGGCTGTCCCCACATCGGTGGCAGACACTGAAAGACCAACCCCCTTCACCCAGCAGCAAAGCACCACATTCCCCAAAGCAGGGGCTCCCCTCCACGCAGTCCTTTCTCTGGCTCATTAAAGACGTATATTCACGATCTGGTCCATGGCTGGTATTCCCAGCTGCCCGCTTGGTCCTGCCTGTCCTTCAGACTGAAATGACTGTCATGCTCTGACCCCTTTCCGTCGGACTCAGACATGCCCGTCCACCATGGCTTCCCGGGAACCCCTCCCCTGCCCTCACCAGGAGGCACCGGGCTGCCCTCTGAGTGTGTGAATGCTTCTCGCACACCCGGAGCAAGGGAGCCCCAGCTAGTCTAGCTCTGCACTGTGTCTCATGCAGAGCCACTAAATGCGGAAATGGAAAGGCAAATCAATCTGGCAGGGAATAAAGAAGAGTTGCAAAGGGAATGGAAGAATAAAATGCAAGACAGAAAATAAAATTTTTTGAAATTAACTTTTTAGACCAGGGGTCAGAAAACCTTCAGTCAAGGACCAGATAGTGAAAATTTTAAGCTTCGTGGTCAAAGCTTAAAAATTTAATTATCTTTAATTAATTATCTTTTACTTTGTCACAATTACTCCACTCTGTCTTTAAGAGACAATACATAAAAAAATGAGTGTGGCTGGGTTCTGTGGCAGGCAGTTAGACAGACATGAGCACAGCAAAGACCATGGGCCAGGTACAGAAGGTCACCAGGGGGGAAAGTCCTGGGTGCCTAGAGAAGGACAATTGTAGGGTGGGGCCTCGTCCCCAGGGTGACCTTTCCTCCTAACATATCACTGGTCATGTGTTTTAAAACCCCTGACCTTTCCTTCCTAGAGATAACATCTAAGCTTCAGTTGTATTTCAGCTCCAGGCCCACAAAGGCAGCAAAACCAGACAAGCTACAACACACGGACCTCAGGACCACTGGATAGTGACCCCTGCCCTAGCACTGACTGATGCATCAGTGGAGACCCCCACACCTGGAAAGCCGCTGAATATTCTATTGAGATCTTCTCCTGGGACCTCCTCTAAAATCTCTGCCCTTAAAACCCTTAGGACAGAAGACCCGGCGCACTCGCCCTCCTGGGAGCACACCTGCGCCGTCTGTCCCCCTCTCCCCAGGCTTGTCACCTTCACCTTCCTCACTTCTGAGCTCTAAGGGCCCTTCCTTTGCCTCTATAACTTGTTTCCTCAGCCCATTTCTTCTACCTCTGTGACTTTCTAACTAAACTTGATCTTATCATTTGAGTCTTGACTCTGAATTCTTTCCTAGCCAGAACTCAAGTACTGAGATTGCTGAACCCAGGTCTGGTTGAATCCCACCAGTCTACCACCTGGTACCATTCTCACCACCCCCAACAATTCCAATGAAATGCCGAACTTTGACGTTCATATAGTTTTTACATGTAATGAAGTATAATTCTTCTTTGGATTTTTCTTCCCAACCAGTCAAAAACTTGCAGATAATACAAAAGGGTCTGGGAGGCAGGACTTGCCCAGTGGGCCCTGATGTGCTCTATACTTGTAGTTCTCATTGTTTGAGGTCAAAATGCTTTGTAAATCTGATTTAAATTATATACCTCTCTCTGGGGTGGGGGTGGGGTATCCATTAGAAACCTGGGCTCCAGAAAGACTCTCCTTTCCTAAAGTGGCCTGGTGGGGGAAGGGACAGACGAGGGAAGAAAGAAAACTTATACATGATTAGATACAGCACCTGGTTCTGAGTGCTATATCTACTAACAGCCATAAATTACGCTTTTAGGTTCAGAAATCGGCCATGGAAAAGTAAGTTTCCCCATTTGAAAACATTGAGCAATGGAATTTGGGAAGTCTGCCAGAAAACTCGAACCTGGCACTTTCCCTGCCCACTTCTAGATCAAAGGTTTATGAACCCGTTTCCTCCATTACCTTTGTCACTCCCCATAGCCCAGAGTGCACTCTGTACCCTGCAGGTGCCCAGGAAGACAGATCACCAGCAGAGTACTCAGTAATTTTTGAATTCTAACATATACACAATTCTTTTCAATCACAGTTTCTCTTTAGGATTTGGAATTAGGAGGAGACAGAATAAGGGTGCATACCCCAGCCCAGAGCTGAGATTGTAGCAGGACCAGGTATCAGTGAGTCATGAAAAAGATATAAGGAAACCCATGGTTCCATTTGTACTTTCTATGAAAGGTTGAAGTCTCCTTTGAAAACCAGAAAACCCCGGCAAGTAGGGCTATCAGTTATAATTTACACTCCATGCTGATTTCATTCTGCAAAAACAGAGAAGCAACTATTGAGTAGACTTTGATTATGTAATGGTTGGGGGAGGAGTAGAAGAGGGACTAGGCAGGCAACTGACCTCCCCTAGAGAGAGTGACTGCCTACCCCAGGTTGGGCATAGTGAGTCAACCAGCTCTTCCAACTTCTGGAACAGGGTTAGCACAAGGGGAATAGGGAGCAATGGAGTGATTTCTGGACATAACAGGTCACATCCATGTGGAATCTAGTATGTGCCAGGAACTGTTGTAAGTGCTTGACATGAAGCTCATGACCACTATACGTGGCAGGAACACTAGAGTTCATGTTTCCCAGACCAGGGAATGGCAGTGCAGAGAGGTTAAGTAACTGGCCCAAAGTCACACACTGGGAAGTGTTGGAGCCAGGATTCAAACTGAGCAGCTGGCTTCTGATTTTCTGTTCCCAGTTGCTCCCTCTGTAGAACCTCCACCCATCCCTCTAGTAAACATTACTAGCCTCTTGCTTCTCTTCAGGATAAAATTCCTCACTCTAGGAAATATATTCATTCCTAGAGAGTGTGTATAAACTGAATAACTGAATTTGATAAAGCAAATCATATTTGAACACACTGAGAGAGACTCGCTTTGGAAAGTCACCCTACAGGGAATCCCTTGGTGAAGTGACGATTGCCTTGCAAACAGTAGGCATCTAGTAAATGTCTGCTGAGTGACATGAATGCCCCTAATTTGTATAAATGTTTCTTTTGGTATATTAAAGAGGCTTGAAATAAGGTATACATTACTAACTAGAAAGAATATTGGAGAGAAAAATGCAAGTGCAGACGGTGCAGTGATTAATTCAGCGAATCACCCAAGGAAACGGGCGTCCTGCCAGGGCTGGCCGCGGGCTCCATGCCACCCTCTGCTCTGACAGGGATGCCAACACCCCTCCCCTCCGGGGCCGCTAACAGATCACTGAGGAGGAATGGGTGGGGTGAGATGGAGCAGAGCTGAGCTCCTAATCTGCCTCCTTTCTCGTAGATGTTACCAGCACTCTTCAGTTCAGTTCATTCATCTCCTGTGTGACAATCCCGGACCCCGTTGTCCCTACTTGATAGACCAAGGGTCATCAACTGTTCAGAGGAGACATAGCAAGTTTTTATCTGTTGTGTCCCTCAGGAGCAGAGAACTGGCTTGGGTAGGTCATGAGCTGGGTGTGATGGATCCCTGGAGTCATTAAGCAGACATTGGGTTGGGTCACCTCAGTAAAACTCTCCCTCCTCAATCCTCCAGCTTCAGGCCACCAACGTTATATGTTGCAAATTTCTGGGAGAAGACCAAAAACAGGAAGTGCTATGCAAGGTCATTGTGAAGACCATCTTCAGTGCTATCTATACAAACTCCTATTTCATACACACAAAGTCATATGTGCAGTGTACCTCATCTATCCATCCATCCATCCATGCATTAATGTTATCTGTTCATTCTATGACAATCAATGGGGTATTTGCTATGACGTAGGCACCCTGCTAGGCACTGGCTATATTATAGTGAAGACTGGCCCCTACCTGTAGAACCACTTACTTCAACTCAGCAATGTGAAGCACTGCTCTAAATAAAGCAGCAAGGAGACTAATGCTTTTACGTTATATGTTGTTTTCTCCCAAATATTTTGAGCTCTCAAATTCCCAGCATGAGTAGTCAAAACAAAAGAACAGGTTAACAAATCCAATCAGCTTGAGCTTACCCTGATTCAGGTGCAGGCTCTGGGCTGCGGCAGAGAGACCTGGATGCCCTTCTCACTTGCTCTCAGAACAGCCCATTCCTATCAAACTGCAAGCCTGCCTTATCCTCCAAGAGGATTTCACCTGCTGGAAGCTCTGAGGTGAAAGGTCATGTCCTAACAGGACAATTAGTGACGGGCACATGGGCAGGGGAGGAAAGTCATGCTACTCCTCGAAGGGCGCACACTCCCGGAACTAGACAATTGCCAGGCCACGCAGGTAGGATGCTGGGCAGTTCAGTAGGAGGCACGACCTGCCTGGATTGATTTGGCCTTGCTGGGTCTTCGCATGAGGCCAGAAAGTGGAGCATCACTATGTGTGGGAACGTTTTCCACAGAGAGGATCGCAAACCTGGTTTTAGTAAAGCTGGGTCCTTACTGGTATTAACCGAGACCAGAGCTGAATTTTCAATTTCCTATACAACATATTTTGTGACATTTCCAAACAAAGATTCTTTGGTAAAATATTTTCCACACAAATACCCCCATTGAGTGAGGCAGCCCTACCTTTGAGTGTGGTGTCAAGAACTACAAAGAACTACATAGGTAGAAAAATAAGTCTTTAGCACCACTGAAGTTTCCTGAGCTCAGCAGTTCACACCTGCCCAGTGGAAAACAATTTCTAAGTGGGGAGGACACTATCTCTTCATCTGTGAAATGGCCGTGAAGTGACACCATAGGGTGTATGTGGGGAATAAACGAGACTTGAGCAGACATCAAGCACAGTCCCAGCTCACAGGAAACGCTCAATATATTTTAACTCAGTTATTCTGTTATTCTGGCCTGGTAGGTACTGGCCTCTGTCTGATTACCAGCTCCCACGCTAACCTGCGGTGTGACCTCAAGCAAATGAGTTGACCTCTCTGAAACTCCGTTCTTTCAAATGTGTCTCACAGTGGTGTTCTGGAGCCCCTGCATGTTTGGTCTAATCGCCTGAGACTCCGGGGGAGGGAGAGGAGGCCACGGCTGGCCTGTAGCCTGCACTGCAGCCTTCCATGTGTTTTCTGACTCTGCACTTCCGTGTATTATCTCACTTGAAAGAAGTTTTCTGGGTCTTTAGAAAAAGTTTGCCAACCACTGGTGAGGTCTGAAGCTCCTTCTAGATCTAATATTTTTCAGAGGAGGAGCTCATGGTTCATCCTCCCCTCAGACAGATATGGTAGAAGACCAAGAGGTCACACCAGGCCCGCTGTTATTTTCTTGGACAGGCCAGCACGTTCTCATGCGGTTCCTCCCACGTCATTGCTCTGCCTCCCCGCTGTGCCCTGCTGTGATGCTACCTGTTCAATCTGCACGTTCTCCGGGAGGCTGTCTTTGATCCCTGCGGTCATGAAAAACCCACCTCTCCACCCCCATCCTCCCTGAATGACTCCAGTCTTTTGTTTATACCCTTGTCACATTCGTTCTTGGAGTCATTTATCGAAATGTTTTCTGTCCTCTGTCCGATCATAAGTCTTAAAAGGGCAGAAGTTCAGTCTGAGGATGTTTGTGTGTGTAAATAGTGGGTGCTCAATCATTGTTGATTGAAGACATGGCTGGATGCGACCAAACAGATTTTAGAATATTTAGGTAAATTTGTATACCCTTGGACAAACTCAGGAAAAACATTAATTTTAAATTTACTGATAACTGGTCTCCCCCCAGAATAAATAGGTTTATGTAAGTATTTCTAAACAAGTCAATGAATTCATAATCACAGGGCAAAGCCAACAGCATGCATGGAAGTGGATACTATAGATTGCTCTGATGACAACTTCAGGGACCTGAGGGCACCAGCTGACTTCTCAGAGGGAGGCACCTAGCAGGATGCTTACGAGAGCGAGCTCCTTTTAACAAGTCAGAAAGACAGGTTTGAACACAGAATCCTACTTGGCCATTTTCTTAGCCTCTAGGCCTCACTTTCTAATCTGTAAAATAGGCGTCTCTTCTATATGGTAACAGTTATTGGAAAGAGAGAATTACTTTAAAGGTTAATGTAATAAGGCGTGTGACAGTGCCCTTTGGCACATGGTGAGTGCTCAATATATACTAGTTATTATTTAAAAGCAACAACAAAACCTATATAAATAAAAGAAATGACTAAGGAGCAACTTGATAGCCCTAAATCGCATGCAATACGGTGGTTATCTTTACAGGAAAATAACGAGGGGCTGAGGATGCTCAATGGCACAATTTCAAACCGCCAAGGATTATTTAAGCAACTGACATCCTTAGGCACATCAGCATCATGAGGCTCCCTAAATTTAATCCAGTTTCCCTGAATTTTTCTAGTTCTTAAGAGGATCTGGAAACCCTGTGTGATGTGACCTCTTCACTCAGATGGTCCCAGTCGCCCTTTCCTCCTCGAAGTTCCCTTAAAGCACCAAGAATGTTCTCTCTGTGGAGTCCTTGCACTTGCTCTTCCTCTGCGTGGATATGGTGCCCCCAGCTATCCATGTGGCGAGACCCCCTCCTGTCTCCACATCAATGCTCACAGGCCATCTCCTCAGAGAGCCCTTCCCTGACGCCCCATGCCCTCCCCATTGCCATCACCTTTGCCCTGCTTCGGTTTGTCACCACCTGACATTTTATACATATCTTTATTTGTTTCCCTGGTTTTTGTCCGCCTCCCCCACCTTGAGTGTAGGTTCCATGACACTGGGGACACTGGCGGCTCTATTCATTGTGCAACAACATCACTGAGCCTGCCCAGCACAGGGACATCAAGGGTGCTCCAAAAGAGTGGTTAAGTGAAAGAGTGAATGACTGCCAGCCTGGGTCACCTCACGGGAGGGTACCATTGATTCTGCCACTCATTTTTAAAATGCTCCCCTGGGAGCTATGCAACTCCCCAAGCGTTGGGGTCAAGAGTCTTACCCTGTTAACATAGAAGCAGGAGCAAGGATTTGTACGGAACCTGGATTGGGGCTAATGTCAGTATTCACCACAAAGAATTGTACAGTTGGATTCGTAGCTCCTGCCTAGGAAAAAACAATCACAGAATTGGTATTGACAAAAAATAAAAATAAAAAAATAACATCATTGCACACGTTTAAAGCGGTGCAAAAATGTCTGCATTACAGCCATAAAGTTATAACAATCTGACACATTCAAACAATTTCATGTAGGTAAAATGAACATAACAAAGGGTCATGAAATGCAACCTTTTCATGTTCAGGCAGAAATGAATATATAGGTCCTAAACACTTCTGTTTAAATAATAAATGTTTGTAATTTATATATACTTTATGCAAACAAGCATAAATTTCTTAAAATCATTTCTGATATTTTACAAATATGCCCTGACTCCAGAAGACAAGAAGTCAGCTGGCTGACCACTGGGAAGAATTCCTTGGGTTCAGCCAAAAACTCAACCCACCAGGAAAATTAGTTTCCCTGAGCCGAGAGCCAATAATGCTAATTAGGAAGCCGAAGCCATCGTTTTCACTCCAAATTCAGGTTCACTATGTTGAAGCTTTACAATAAATACCATGACAGACATCTATAAAACCTTTTTATATACACGCATAGATCTTCGACTGACAAATTAGTTAGAAATAATGTATTTTTAGTAAGAACACTTTATGGTTTGTTTGTTTTGTGCCAGTTTCACTCGTCAAAAAATAACATTTCACTGAAAATACATCTCCATATTTAGTCTCTGATCTTTTTTTTTCTTTAACTTCCTCTGTCTTCCTAAAATGGCAGCTCTTCATAAAACAAATTGAGAGAGTTGGGAAAAAATAAAAATCCCCTTTTCCAAATTGCTTATAGCAAAACAACGCTTTACCATGAGATTTTCCCACGGGCGCTATGGTGGCCATTATGATTATGACACTAGTGAAGAATCGTGTTTCCCTTCTAAATCCCCCTCTTCCTCAGCTTACACTGCTTAAGGAAGCTTTTCAGGTTTCATAAACATGCATCCGGAGGGGGAGAACAGCCTTGAAAACCAAGACATGACACTATTATTCCAAATGTAGGATGTGTGAAATTAGCCCTACTGCCAAATCTATAATAGAACCACTAAAACTAGTCATGTATCTGTTAATTAGTAATACAACCTGATATATAATCAAGCTTTTCAACTCCATCTAGGGCACATTCCAACTTCCACAAATGAGATGAGCTCGTGATTCAATTATAGCCTCCCTTTTCCTCCATTCAAACATTTCCAGTCCCCCTACTTCTCTCAAAAGCATTTCCCCCATCTTTTTCGGCTTGTCATTCCTCAAAGTTTTTGGAGAAATTACAAAACCTTAAATCACACTCTTTCCTGGGATAATAAAAATACTTTAAAATTGCCAGATGCTGTTGACTTCAGCAAGAGTAATCACAGCAAGCTGTTGAAGAGAGACTGACAATATTTTCATTAGCAGGAAACGATTAAATGAAACCATTCTCTTCCCATCAAATCACAGAACCGCTATACGAATAGGAACACAGACCTTTGGATATGGAATCTGCATAGTCTTTGGGTACTGCTGTGACTCATCGAGGTACATGGAGAATTCAATATGTGGGACTTCAGTGTCGTTAAACTGGGCATATGCTAAAAATGTACCGTTTGGAGACCACCACAGAGCGGAGTAGGTACTGAAGATTTCCTCTGAAAAAAAAAAAAAGACATAAATTGTTCTGTTATAAGAAGTAGCTGATAAATTGGCTTTGGCATTCAAAATATTATTCTCATTAGCTTTAGTAATTACAGTAGAGTTCAACTAATGAACTACTTTGCATTTGCTGGGCTTCCTAAATCAGAGTAATAGAAATGAATAAAAATAAAAGCATCAAGGATAGATCTGGGTTATAAAAATAAGTAACCCGTTGGACTGTTTTAGAATATTTTAGCACACAATATTTAATATAAGTTCTACATGTTTTTCTTTATCTTATAATCCTCTAAATTTGGGCTGCAAAACATACTAAAAGTAAATTTTACATAAGTAGCTGATTCTCTTTTCTAATTTTCAAACAGTCAGCATGCCAGCATACTCTCCCCAACTGGGTGGGTAGTGCGTGGCTCCATGCTATTAAATCGATATGGTGCCCAGAGTTTACTACTCTTGGCACAAACAAGGTGTGGGAAGGATGGATTTAGAATGGTGAGAAGCTCCATGAGACCCCTACTGAGAAACATCTCCTTTGCCTAGCCCAGAAACCAAAGACTCCTTGGATTAACACCCTCTTCTGGTGCATAAACTGATGGGTGAGGACAGGGGGTCAAAGAGGGATGCAAAGCACAGGAAAGGTCTTGATTTCCAGTGCATTATGGGACTCGTTCTCAATCTCTGGCAAAGGTAGCGTCTTCCTATGTTTATTATGAAGACTATTTCTGGGACTTCCAACCGCCGGCTCTTGAAATGCCAGAACCTGTTTTATGAACTGAGAAAGGAGAATTCAAGTAGACTAGACAGAAACTCCTGGTCCGTTATGCAGATTTAGTCCACAAACCTTATATTCTGCTGTGAGTGTAAAGGTATAAACAAAAAGCATAGAAACTTAAATCTTAGAATGAAGAGACCATTATCCCAATCACTTTTCTGATTCTTGGGGCTTCCTTACAAGTGTCTTCCAAATGCTTGTTTTCAATAATAACAGTAACAGTAGTAGTAACTGCAGTATTAACAATAACAATAATAATTGTGATGAGCAGCTGGCATGTAGTGAATACACCAGGCATTGATAAGCAACTGACATCTATTACCGCAGTTAATACTCAAGCTACTCATTGTACAGACGAGTTAAGGGAGGCAGTGCGGCTGAAGGAGAAAACATAATGTGCCCAGGATCACAGAGCAATAACTGATAGAATCAGGAATAAATCCAGACTTGTTTGGTGTGAGTCCATGCTTTTCAGTTCCCTGCCCTACTGTGCCCTCCTGCCCATTTCAGCATGGCTGGTAACAGCAAACCTTCTTGGTAAGGAAGCCTGCTCCCCCTTTGCTTTATACCTACATCGGTGACTTACATTTGAGTAACAATTTAGAATTTATAAGACACTTGTCTAATTTAGTCTTCACAAAGTTGCCTGGGTGGGCCTATTCACAGCCTATTTTACAGAGAAGGCAACTAAGGCTGAGAGGGATTGAGTGGATGAGGAGGCCGGCCGTGGGATTCCAAGTCAGGGGGTTTCCTACCAGGAGCTTCTTATCTATTGAGTTGCTGTCTCACTACCCATTGGTTTTAGTCTAAGATCAAGATGCAGTTTGATCAAATTAACATAATTAGAACAAGGTTCTGGCTTTTTAAATAATAAGTACAGGTCGTAGGTAGTGCTCTCTGTTTTGAATTGGTGGTTATTTGGAATGCAGAACACATTTCCATATTGATGATGCATTAAAACTATTATTATAAAACTATATCAGGTTGAGGGTGTTGGGTCAAGATGGTAGTGTAGGTAAATACAGTACTCACCTCCTCCCACAACCACAGCAAAATTACAACTAAACTATAGAGAAGCTATCATTCAGAACCACTTCAAATCTAGCTGAACACAAGTCCTACAACTGGGGAATTAAAGAACCTACATCCAGACTGGTAGGCAGGGCAGAAATGTGGAACAGGCTGATGCCACACTCATGTGTGGTAGATGAAAATCAGGAGGGATACCGAGGGGTCCCAGCCCCACATCAGACCCCCTAGGCTAGGGTTCCAGTGACCGGAAGAGAAGTCCCCATAACTTCTGGCTGTAAGATCCAGTAGGGATTGTGGCTCAGAGACAGGGTGCCTCTGGAGTCCCAGGCGCTCCTCCCAAAGGGCCTACACATGGCCCTTCTCAGAAGCGCTTGCTCCGCACTCCAGCGCGGGAGGCAGCCCTTGAAAGACACCAGGACGCACAGGGAGGAACTGAATTGTCTGGCATCAGGGCGGGAGCTGGAGGGGCAGCTTTCTCTCAGACAGAAGTGCTGGCAGAGGCCGTTGTTTCTTTAATGAGCCCTCCTCCCATAGAGCTGGCAGGCAGGCATCACGTCTTAGTCTCCATCAACCTGGCTCACACTGTTTACCCCAACACTGGTGGCAGTCAGCCTTTGCTGGCAGCTCGGCCTCTCCTGGGCACTCCAAGCCCAGCAGAAGTAGCAGCCATGTGCAAATTGCTTTGTCGCTCATGGGCATGGTCCTGGACAGAACACAGGTAATGGCTGCCCTTGGCCTGCCCCTCCCAGGAGGCCTCAGGAGACAGCTTAGAGCAGACAGGGGGTGTGGGGGGTGTGGGGGGAATGGGTGAAAAAGGTGAAGGAATTAAGAAGTACAAATTGGTAGTTACAAAACAGTCATGGGGATGTGAAGTACAGCACAGGGAATGTAGTCAATAATATTGTGGTGGTGATGTGTGATGTATGATGTCAGACGGGTGCGAGACGTATCGGGATGATTACTTAGTTATATAATGTCTCACTGGGTTGTACATCTGATACTAATATAATATTTTATGTGAACCGCAATTGAAAAAGAAAAATTATTGCCCTGGCCAGTTTGGCTCAGCGGTTAGAGCGTGGGCCTGCGGTCCGGAGAGACCCGGGTTCGGTTCCCGCTAAGGGCACGTACTTCGGTTGCAGTTTGTCTCCGGCCCTGGTTGGTCGTGCGGGTGGCAGCCACTCGATCTGTTCCTTCACGTCGATGTTTCTCTCTCTCTCTCTCTCTTCCTCTCTCTCTCTCCCACTCTATCTGTACAAAAAATGGAAAAATATCCTCGGGTGAGGATAAAAAAAAGAAAAAGAAAAATTATTTAAAGTTAAACAACAACAATAATAATAACTTTAAAAATAACCCTACTTCTGGTCAAACTGTAATTCCCAAGAATGAAGGGACATTGGTAGGGAGAATAGAAAACAATGGAAATAAAATATTTTCAGTCCTTTCTGATACAAAGCTGTCTGTGAGCACAGATGTTTATGGCACCCCCGATGCCCCCACACTTTGAACAATTCTGTGATATCTATCATCCTTCCACTCTGACCTTCCTTGTTTACCCTGGATTCAGTGTCCGCCCCTGAATAGGGCACTTAAATTGCTACCTGACAATTATTTGTTGGTATCTGTGTCTCCTTCTCTGGTCTGAATTCCCTGAGAGCAGCAGTTGAGTAGCATTTGTCTCTCTGTCCCTGGCACCTGGCACAGCACCTCACTGGTGGTTTGGTTGGCACTGGGTATGAATGGCACTGAATTACCCACATCCCCAATGTCAACAGTACTATCTTAGGTGGGTAAGGAGTGTCTCACCTTCTAAAATTATTTCTTTCTCTATCCCTTCTCATACTTGGGCTCACCAAAATTCTCATTTTCAGCTCTGAGTTAGGTAAATTACATTCATACTCAAGAGTGAATGTCATATCATTAACTTTATATTAGGACATAAAGTATTATCTGTTTTTTTTTTAAAGACACATTAACAAAAGTAACGGTCAATTAGAAAATCATGAAATAAGACAAAGTGAAAACAAAGATAGTAAGAGAGGAAGCTATTTGGGGACATGGAGTGGGGTGGAGGGCACAGTTCCAGAGTGGAACCTCCTGGCGGGGGGGGTCCCTTCACAGTGTGGCACAGGACCTGTCTGGACCCTGCAGCTTTGTGTGTTCTCTTACTTATGAACCTACAGACTCTCGAAATGTACTCTTGTAACAGTGAGGATTGTAACCCACTCCAGCTTTCTTTTGACATCACTCTGTAAATGCTGGCTCTGAGTAATATGTAGCTCGCAGATAAACCGCATGTTTGTGTAAGAATCCTAGGAACTAACTTGAGAAGATACAGACTCCGACCTTCAGTCATCCCAGTTCTGAGAGACTTGCTGACCTTCAACCATATCACCAGGATGATGTAGAACAAGGATATACGTAGAACAAGGATGACCAAGACCAGAGTGACGCACACCAGACCCTCAGTTGACCAGTTTTGAGGTCCTTATCAGAATGGACTTTGCTGGCCTCCTGCAAATATTATTTGTTTAATTGAACTTGACTTGAACTGAGAGACAACCAAAATTAAGTTATGAAGAAAAACTATGTTTTTTTTAACTATGAAGAAGAAATAATAGGATGAAACAAGGAGGAGTCTTTAATAAGCATGAGGCAACTTTGTGAATGGTTTGGAACAGTCCCCAAAATGCCTTTTACCTTGGCAATGATAGACAGAAAAAATGTTCTTCTAATATTTTCTAAGTCTCTAAAATGTTTTTATAGTATTTACTAAAACTCTTTGTCCTAAATGGAAAAAAAGGAATCCTTTTTATCATTTTTAGTTCTGTTTTTTTTGACTCGTTTTTCTTAAGCTTCTCTAATTATTTTTTTTCTTCTTCTTTAAAATCAGGAAATTATCATTTGCCAAAGTTCAAATGAACACACATCTTTTATAAAACAGGTGTTTCCTTCCCCTCTCCTCCCCAAACTCCAAACACGATGCTGTCATCCTTTGGAATGTTGTAGGAGGACGTAGCTAACTTTCATAACTCCTGGGGCAGGTCGGCCTGGCTACAGAAACACGATGGTGATCTGCAGGCTTTGTGCGCTGGTAAAGCAGAAGAGCGACCTACACAGAAAGGCTCTTTGTGGCAGTGGACGGAAGACAATGGGAGCATTGAGAGACAATGAGGACAGGAGCAGCACTTGCTCCTGCTCAGAGATTCTTCTGTGAGATACCTGGGGTTGTGCTAAAAGAGATTTGATGACATTTTTTGAAAATGCAACTGTTTTGAATGCCATTGAATTCCTTCCTTTTTAAAGAAATGCTTGACTATTTTGAAAAACATACAGATTTTCTGATTTAAAAATGTTTTAAAGTCTCTACCTTCATAAACCCAGTCAGTTATTCCATTACTTATTACATCTTCTTTCCCATTACTTGTGATCCTCTCACTTGGTGAATTTGGTTCATGTTTAACATAAATATCATTGTTCCATACATATGCCTAGAAAAATTGAAAATAATATTGACATGTAATAACATGATAGACTATATTTTATCCTTAAGTTCAAGAACACATCAATCAGTTATTTTATCTTAAAATAATATTGGTATGCAAGTGCAAGGATTACTTTAGGTTATTCAATTTAGGCAAAGTAAAGAGTCATGTGTGCCCTCCCCCTCACATTCTTAAACAATCAGTATTCAAGCTATAATCACAATTAATCTTAAAAACACTCTTGCCCGGCTGGTGTAGCTCAATGGTTAAGCATCGACCCATGCACCAAGAGGTCGCCGGTTTGGTTCCCGGTCAGGGCACATGCCCAGGTTCTGGGCCAAATCCCCAGTGGGGGGCATGCAGGAGGCAGCCAATTGATGTTCTCTCTCATCAATGTTTCTATCCCTCTCTCCCTCTCCCTCTCCCTTTCTCTCTCTGTAAAATCAACACAGAAAAAAATTTTATTACACGCCACTCTTAATATATTAAAAAGAAGAAGCTCACAATGATTACCATTTGGGTGCTAAAATATATAAGAAGACCTAGAAGACTGACCACTTCTATAGAATGATGTGTGCTTTGCATTTCTTCTTGGGGGAGGTAATTAAGGGAGTGCAGTTGCATGCTGAGAGGAAGAAGTTCAACAACAGATAAATATTCCATCTTCCTGTTTAGATTCTTTTGGAACACAAATATATCTATAGTGGCACAGAGAAAGTCACAGAACTAGCAGGAAGCAGATATGCTTAAGAAAAACAACAAATCCACAAAGTCCAATAGCAGCAAGCCCCTACCCCCCCCAAACCCTAAGCACAATAGAAATTAGGATTTAAGAGCTTAATGAACATTTTCCCATTAAATAAACAATTTCCTAATAGTGTCAGGATTAGTAGCTTCTGCATATGAGAGATCTGAGCCTTTATTTTCCAGACAATGAAATAGACTCACTAACCAATTTATGACCCTCTGGTGACCATGTGATTAATTGTGTGTCATTTGGAATTCTTTCTTCTGTAATCAGCTGCCTGGAAAAAAGATAAAAGGAAACAACTACTAAATGAATAAATCACAGTGGGTTTTTTGTTTTTAAGTTATTACCCTAGAAAAGCATAATATATTTTATGAGGAAGTCACTGACCTTGTATTTAAGTCATACATGTCATATGAAGCTGTGTAGGAATGTCTCCATTTCTAGAAAAGAAAACAGGTATTTTCGGCGCCTGTGGTTATTGACAGTTTTGCCACTTGCTGTGGGAGCTCGGGATGAGAGACAAAGTGATATAACATTGTATAATTCTCAAATTGTAGTTTTCCTTATATTTCCCTATCTAGATTCTTAGAATTTTGGAGAACATCTTAGAGACCATGTAGTACAAACTCCTCTGGACTCCGTTGGTAACCTAGCTTTGACCTCACCTCTGCCAAGGAGCCTTCCTAGGGCCGCAGGGGGCTCAAGGGCTACTTCCGGTGCAAACATGATTCCTAGCACGAACCACAGCATGTTAGGTTCCCCTGTATAAGAAGCATATTTTCACTTTTCAACCCTTTTACTATCAAAATATTTAAGATATCATCTATAATGCTGTTGCTGGTGATGATGTGGAGAAATGTTTACTTTCTTACACTAATCATGAAAACATAGAGTATTGTAGATGTTTTTAAAGCCACCTAGCAATTGATATTAAAATACATATACCATCAATACTTTAAACAACCCTCTCAAGAAGCTCAGAAATGAAAAGCAAACCAAATCCAAAGAAATCAGAAGAAAAGAAATAATAAAGGTAAAAGCAGTAATCAAGTAGAAAAAACACAATAGAGATAATTCAACAAAGTAAAAAATTGGTTCTTTAAAAGATTTAAAAAAATTGCTGCCCTGGCCGGTTTGGCTCAGCGGTTAGAGTGTCGGCCTGCGGTCCAGAGAGACCCGGGTTCGGTTCCCGCTAAGGGCGTGTGCCTCGGCTGCAGTTTGTACCCGGCTCTGGTCAGTCGTGCGGGTGGCAGCCACTCCATGTGTCCCTTCACGTCGATGTTTCTCTCTCTCTCTGTTCCTCTCTCCCCCTCCTACTCTACCTGAACAAAAAGTGGAAAAATGTCCTCGGGTGAGGATAAAAAAAAAAAAAAAATTGCTAACATAGTAAGTGTGAAAGGGAAAAAAAGGTATGAATGACGAATATCATTTATTTATTTTTTATCCTCACCCGAGGACATTTTTTTGCATTTATCTTCAAATAGAGCGGGAGGGAGAGAGGGAGGAAGAGAGAGAGAGAAACATCAATGTGAGAGAGACACATCGAGTAGTTGCCACCCACACGACCTCAACCAGGGCGAGGACAAGCTGCAATGGAGGTACGTGCCCTTAGCGGGAACCGCACCCAGGACTCTCTGGTCCATAGGCCGACACTCTAACTGCTGAGTCAAACCAGCCGGGGCTGAATGACTAATATCAGAAATGAAAAATGATATACCACAACAGACTCTAAACATTAAAAGACTATAAGACCCTACCACAATCGTTTTTTGCTAATCAAATCTACAAGTTAGGAAAAAAGAAAATGCCTCAAAAAAGAAGTTATTGAAAATGAGACAAGAAAACATGTAAAATCTAAAGCAGAAAAGAAAAGAAAAAAAAAACTGAAGAGAAATATATCTCTATATATTTACAGATCCGTATTTATGAAAAAAATGTTTATATGTGGATGCAAATGGAAATGAAATTACTTATCTAAATGTCTGTCTTCCCTACTATATTCCTAGAGGAAAGAAATTAGGTCCTATTCACCTTTAAATACCTAGACCTTGGTCTAGTGCAAACCACATAGCATGTATTCAAGAAAGAAAACCAACTAAAAGAAAAGTCAGATTTCACCTACAAGGATGAAATAAGGTAGCAGAAGGGCCCAGCTGCATAACGGCAGAGCTGAGACACAAGCTGGGTTTCCTAACTTAAAAGAATATTTCCCTCTTATCGTTTACCACCCCCTAACCTCTTATGTCAACAAATATTCATTATGTCCCTACTTTTTGCAAGTTCTGCATTCCCTTTGAATTCTGGATTATTGTGACACACCTCGTGCTTGCTTCTGGAAAACCTGTGAATATAATACTTGCTAGAGCCAAAAGGTGTGGTACTGAGAGATTTAAGAAGGCTTGAGGTCATTTCAGGATGACAGATCAATCGCAGATTATGAAAGGAAACCCAACGTTTGGCATGTTCACTTCATCGCTTGAAACAGACTCATCAATCTATTTAGGATATTAACATTGGCAACTATGCCCTATGAGGCATTATTAGATGAGACAGGTCCCCTTTCTTTGAAGAGCTCATAGTTGAATGAGGGATATGGACAAGTAAATACAAGAAAAGAATCACAAGAGATTAAATGGTGGAGGGTGGGGAGAGGCAGAAATCTTGACTTAAGCCTTGGGGAGGGAAAAAGCCCTCTGGAAAAGGTGGTTCTTGGTCTGAGTCCAGTGGCAGAGGACTTCCCCACAGAGAAGAGGCATCAGAGCAGAGAACAGACGCAGCACAGCTTTGGAGCCTCTGACCTGATTCAAGCCTTACTAGACACTGAATGGTTTTGCCTCCCACACCTAAATCATATGATGAAATCCTAACCCCCAATGTGATGCTATTTGGAGGTGGGGCCTTTGGGAGTTGACTAGCTCATGAGGGTGGAGCCCTCATGAATGGGATTAGTTCCCTTATAAATGAGACCCCACAGAGAGTCTTTGCCCCTTCCACCACGTGAGGACATGGCCAACTACGATCCAAGAAGCAGGACCTCACCAGACAATGAATCTTCCAACACCTTGATTTTGGACTTTGCAGTCTCCAGATTGTGAGAAATGAACTTCCATGTTTAAGCTACCTGGTCTGTGGTATTGTGTTACAGCAGCTCACATGGACTAAGACAAGTCTCCAAAAGCAGACACATTTCTTTCTAAGCCTCCATTTTCTCTTTAGGAAAACGCCCATAATGATGACAATTATCTCAGGTGCATGAGAAAGCGTGTGAGTGCTTAGCAAGGCTCCTGGAACTGTCTACATGTGATAGACAGTGCTACTATTTCTATCTCCAGGGCATTAGGCAATGAGTAAAGATGCTAGGATAATATCCATTCCGTGCTGTGTGGTACTTATTATTTAGGAATTCACTCATTTATTTTTTTTTGTTAGCCACTTAGAAGTGATCATTACTTCTTAAAAACAACTTAAAAGTAAGAACTCATCTGTCTGGAAGCACTAACTCAGTCATGGAGAAGCCATGGAGTAGGGTGTAAAGGACACTGCATGGTAGACCTCCAAGGAAGTAGAATAAAATTAGACTAATTTTTGTTGTTCTGGATAGATATTTTGAGCATTGACAAGTCAACAAATTTATGCTGCACAGAAAATTTTATTGAATACTCTGGGAAGTAAAATAGAAGATAAAGTTCTCTACTTTCACTACTCTTATAATTTAGTGCTTTGCAATAAATTTATGAAGAAAATAAAATAAGCTAACGTGTTAGAAAGTAAATGGTATATTGCAGGGGAACAGAGTAACAGAGGGTAGCAGTAGATAAAGTGACCCAAGCTAGCCTGGACCTGAACCACTGAAAAGGGAGAGCCAGCTGATGACTGGGGGAAGAAGGTTCCACAAGAAAGCAATGACAAATGCTTTGGCCCTTAGAGAGTAATGGAAGTGATACTTGATTAAATGTTCTTAACTTTGAATCACTGGGTCACCTGGGAGTCCTTAAATCTACCCATGCCTGGACCCACCCATGGCTATGCTGGATTAATTGATGTGGGGTAGGCTGCATGCATCTGTATTTTTTAAAACCTCCCCAGGTCATTCTAAGGGGCACACAGGAATGAGAAGCACTGGCCAACCGTGTTGCATGCAGAGAGAGAGGCAGGAGATGGAATCTGACAGGCACAGGGGGGTCCAATCTCTTAGGCTCCTGAGGATGCTGTGCTAGAGTTTGAGCTTTATTCTGAGGGTCATTGGAAGCCAATGATCATGAGGATTTAAGCATAGGCATGACGTATCTGATTTAGACTTTAAAAGCAGCTCTTTGGATACTGCCTGAAAAGCACGGATGGCAGGAGGAAGAGACTGAGTGAACACAGCTGAATATGCATGTAAACTCCAGCGACACAACAAATACAAATCACCAATGACAGTTGTCCAGCTAAGGTCCACCAGGGGAATCCATCTGCTAGTGCACATCAAATGGCACTTGCTGAACTTGGCCCAATAGTAAATAGGACTGGCAGTGACTATTCCGTTTCTGTCTTAATCTCACAGTCTTTAAGATGGACAAATGTCATTCAGTGGTTCTCAATCCTGGTTTTACCACTAGAATAATCTACAGATAGAAAAAATAATAGTGATGCTGGCTCCACTGCAGAGACTTCAGTTTATTGATCTGAGGACTGAATTTGGACACAGAATTTTTTTAAAAACTCAAGTGATTTTAATACATAGCAGTAAGAACCACTGAAATAAACACACAGTTATCTATTAATAGGGAACAAATGTGCTAAAGTTGGCATAGGATTCTGATTTGCTTGTAGTTAATAAATTTAGTAGAACACAGTCATCTAGACTTCACGTCCAAGAAATGGAGCCCAGCACAGTGAATCCAGGGTAAATATTATGATTGGGAGTCACCGTCCCAAAACAGGAAATGGAATATGGGATGGTTTGCTTGGCCTGAGTACAGTGGCATTGGGCAGGGGGAGGTAAGTATTTATACTAGTATTTTCATTTATTCTAGGAAAAAAACAAAGGTGGGGATCCCCAGCTTTGTATTTTCTTTTCAACACAGAATATCTCTGCAGGTTTTTGTTTTTCTTACGACGTCTCAAGACTTCCTATACTCACTTGACGACTGTTGTCAAATCCACGAATAACCAAAAAGTTGCAGTTAAAGTTACTGGCAATTTGAAGCCGTCCTAAGCATGAGGAGGACGTATCATCACATGGCAACCTTTCCTGACTGTGTGAGGATTTGATATTGGGCGAGGTGGCTGGAGAGGGCTGAGGGTTCTCCCAGGGCTGAGGCTCCCGTTAGAATGGTTTGCGTGTGGTGGGACCTGAGGCGGGGAAGTGGTCTGAGCCACCTGGCAGAGTCTCTTCTGAAGAAAAAGAAGTTTAAGTTTTTTCAAAGCAAACACTTACTGAGAGTTTTACTACATGTAAAACTAAGACAAAGGAAGTAAAGGGTTATATTACTAGATGTATGAGTCAGACATGTAAATTTACTTTTCAATTGTAAGTTCTATTTTGTGATGCTTTTAGTATCTACATTACATTACTTACAGTTTTTAGTATTTGAACACACTCAAATAAATTTAAAATATTTGTTGGACTTATCTTTTATGAATGAGAATGACCATTTCTCCTTTTAATGCTGAATTCGTGAGTTTTTAGTGCCTGCTATATTTCCAGTTGTCAATCTTAAATACACACACACACACACACACACACACACACACATATATATATACACACATCTCCTGGAAATCAGTATAAAATAACATACTCATAAGATTCTTTAAATGTCATAATAAGAAAACATTTTTTTTACCTTCACATTGTTGTACTGGAAGAGAACAAACTGTCTATCAGCAGATACTGAATAGTCAGTTACAGAATATCCAAATTTATCCTGTCAATCAAGTAGAAAAAAGAACAATTACAGTCCCATTTAACTGCCATTATTGAGCACTTACTATGTAGAGGGTACAGTTCTAGACCTGTGGCGTGTGCCTTTGGAGCTCCCAATCTGGACAGGTAGCACATCCCCCCACACCAATGACCATGGCTTAAGGTGGATGGTGATCAGGGTTAGAGAACCAGGGAGGGAGGGTTAATTTTAACCGAAGAAAGACAGCTGCGAGAGTGGGCATCAGAAAAAGAGAACTTTCTTGGTATGGGGAACAGCATGAGCAGAAAGGGTACACATATTTAGAGACTGTCTAAAGCTTAGGTGTAACATGAATGCAGTATATGGTGCATCAGACAAAGTGTAAGCTAAGAGGACATACAATTAGGAAAACAGCTGGGATTTAAATATCAGATGCAGAACTATGACTATTTTTGTGTCTAGAAGTGCTAGAACCTTATCTTTTTCACAGCGATGCTCTGGTGACACAGTGACTGAGATAGGATGAGAGGTGTTGTGTCAGCCCTGGAGGTGGCATTGCAGTGGTCGGATCTACAGTATGGACGTAGCAGCACGTGTTAGAACACTCACTATCACGAAAGAAACAAGGCCTTGAACCAGGAGTCTACAGTGGAAATTTGAAACTGCAGAGGATTTGTTGAGTAGCTAAATATGGGGGAGGACTGAGCAATCAGGGAGGGTTGTGGCTTGGAAGAGAGCACTATTAACCAGGACTGGGAATTCAGGAAGGGGAACAGGATGCTTTCAGTTTGCTAGGAGAGTGAAGGGGACGTAATTAGTTTAGTCTGGGACACTGAGTTTAAGACACCTGTGGACCCTTCGTGTGCAGAAGCAAGCAAGCTGTTAGAAACAGAGGTTTAGCTCTTGAGAGGAGGTTAGTGTTAAAAGTGTGTACTGGAGAATCGAGGGCAGAAAGAGGGTGCTGAGGCTGGGGAGGTGCCTGGAATTCACTGAAGGAGAATATGCCAAGTGTGGAGAGGGGCCAGCAAATGAAGACAGAGCCCCGAGGACACTTACATTTAGGAGTGTGGGCAGAGGAGGAGGAATCATCAAAGGAGACTAAAGAGCAGCCAAGGCAGGGAACATTCCAAGGAGAGAAAGAGCCACTGCGCCCTGTGCTGCAGAGAGAGTCCAACAGCATGAAACGATAGCACTCAGGATTTTAAAAGGTTGTGAAAAAAAAAATCCCCAGAATTTCCTTAAAGTAGGAATGAATTATGTAATTCAACATACTAATGTACTGTTCTCCAAGAAAATGGAACTGTTTCCATAGTCGGCATTGAATAGCAAGATATTATTTTCTTGTTTGTAGAGATATTCGTGGTCTAAAGAGAGAAAATGGCCGGATCAATATTTCAAGTGGCTATTCAAAATCTTCCTAAGCTAAAATTCAAGCAATACAAATTTTAATATTTAAGTTCTCACAAGTACTAAATAAGCATTTCTAAGTTTGAAAAGCATTCAGTGATGACTGTCGCAGGAGTGTTCTGTGTTCATTTCTTCATCATGATTGTCAAGGTCTCAGTTCACATTTAGCTTTTTAGAGCACATGTAACAAATACGCTTTCTTGCTAGCCTAATTCCCTTTGCACCCTTCGGTAGAAAAAAAATTCTCTCCCATACGGTTTTAAAAAGCAAAGACAGCTTTTCAGTGCCATACAAGTGCCCCACAACCTAACTAGAATGAACACGAGCATAAAAAATCCCCCCCCACACACAAATCCTTACCTGAAATCCATCGCAAGTTGTAGTTCTTTGTTCTAAGTGTACTTTTTAAATAATCAGTGAGAGTGTAGGTCCTACGATGATCAGCTGCAGCATCGTCTGTTGGTTGAAAAAAGAGCCAAATGTTCAGTATGATGGAATAACCTAAGTTTTGCATAAAATAAACAAGTTGATCATCTCTCCAATCTACACTGGTTACAAGACACAGAAATACACTCGCAAAACGCAAAGCACAATTTGAAATAAAAATGCATGCAACCATTGAAGCGTATGTGAGTGTGTTTCACCATATATTAATGCCATATTGATGACCTTCTTTGTGAAGGTCTAGATCCGCGGTGTCCAATGAAAACAAAATGTTAGTACATTTTCTGGTTAGCCATATTTAAAAGTTTTAGGATGAAATTCATTTTAATAGCATATCTTATTTAGCCCAATATATCCACAATATTATCATTTCAATGTGTAATCAATATTTAAAAGCTATTGCTGAGATCTTTAACATTCTTTTCTCTCATACTAAATCTTTGAAATCCAATATGTATTTTACGATGACAGCATATACTGAATTTACTAGGCACATTCCCAGGCAATAGCTATGCGGCCATGCAGTAGCCAACAGTAGATCCTCCGTTCCTGAGGCCCTGAGGTCCTCTTTCAAGCCCTCTGGAGATGCACAGACCTTTAAGACGTGCTCATTACCCAGTTCAGAGGTCTTTGTTTGTATTGTCACTTTTTCTTAACTGGGTGGAAGTTTTCATGAAAACTTTCCCTTGATTCTGTGACACCTCAGCTCTCCTAACTCACTGACCATTATTTTTCTATCTCCTACTTTGACTCTTTTTTTTTCCCATTGATCTCTAAGGCAGAAATGCTTTGATACTCAGCCTTCAGCTGTCTGCAGTCTCTATATATTATTCTTTTCAGAGAACTCCGGAGAATGTGACTTCCTGAGTTTCAGGCATATTTTCCACTTAAATAAATGACAAAATCTGTACTCAATACCACACCCCACACACATTTCCTGTGCTGTGTTGAGCTTTCTTAGTTGACTTGTCCCATGCTAATCCTATACCTACCTTATCTAAAATAATTATCTTCCTTCCAAAACTAGTTTTCCCCAGGAAATTTGTGTGGTGTTCAATTTTTTTACTGGGGACCCAAATTTAAAACCTGAAAAATCATTTTTGATGTTTCTCTCTCTTTTACCATTATCCTCATCAAACAATTCTCTTGATTCCTCCTGTGAGGTATTTTTTCCAGGTTTTCCTGCCATCAGTTTCTCTCCAATCCAATCCCTCCACTGTACCACCACTAGAATGATTTTTCTAAAATGCCGACTTCGTTCTGGTGAGTTCTTCAAAAGCTTTCCATGATTCACCACTGCCTCCAGGAAGATTTAAACTTCTCAGCCTGGTATTTGTGGCCTCCACAATCCAATACGAGACTCCCTTTCCACCCTCATTTCCACTCTCTCCTGCGTGAACCTTCCTAGCTGGTCAGACTGCTCTGCCTACTGAACTCAGCAGCCCTTCTGAGGCTTCTCTGCCCCTATTCTTTGTCTTAAGCACTTCTCTGCAATGTCTTCCACTGCTTCCCTGGCTGCCAGAATCCTCCACCCTCTCCTCCCACCTCTTTCATGGAAACTTCATTTCTGCCTTCTCTGATTTTTGCGCTCACACTACTCATTTAGCTCTTGTAACAATGACTTGTGTTGATAACTATTTTCCCTTGCCTACCAGTCTGCCTGTGTGGTCTATACAGCTAGACCATCTAGGGCCTTGTTTTGATTGTTTATTGTATCATCCTTAGCACCTACCACAGTCCTATGCCATATTAAGTAGGCATACATACAACAAGTTTTTGGTCTTTGTTGAGTGACATAGAATATCTTCCAACAAGCATAGTCAAGACGATGTGATTCGTCTTCCTCAATCCCAGATCCTCCACTGATGACAAACAGCCTCAAGTCTTTTTCCAAATTCTCTACTTCTTCCATGTGCATGCAAATATACACTCACAAAATCAGCCACCATCATGAGGTTCTTACAACTGCAGTCCTTAATCTTTAGGGATTGTGAAACCAGCAATACCTTCTCTTGTTAATTTATTTACAGGCTGTGGAAAGGTTATTCTCTTACAGAAAATCCTCTTTCAAAATATATTCTTAAGGTTTTATTTCTTTGGATCTTACCTTATCACACAGTGTTGATTCTGTCTATAAAACCTTAGTTTTAAACAGATAAAATTGCTACACTTCACTTTATCACTTCATTGATTTTAAGCCTAGTTTGTTAATTTAAAAACGTTTAAAACATTTTTTTCTTTTTTTCAAATCAGGCCTGCATCTCACCTCCAAAACTTTGTAAGATATTTGTGTCTGTAAGCAGAAATAGAGCTGATGAATAAAACCAGCCCTTGGATTTGTCAACATTCAAACAAGAGTAAAGACTTGTACCACAGAAAATATTATTTGAAACTCATATTGGACTACAGAATTCCAAAATCTAGATTTGTGCACTAAATGTCCTCAGTTGTTTATATTCATCCAATTAGTCTTTCATATATCAAATAGTGATAAAGTGCGTACTACTGGAAAAATACTGTTAAGGATATATACCCTTCTATCAAGAAATATTAGTCTAAAACATACACAGAACACATCTCTAAATTAGTACAAATCAAGATATAAATAGTTATAGACATCCACAGTCCTAATGTTATCTGCTAATGCATATGTCTAGATAGACCTATAGATAGAGCCTATGTCAATACATATAATGCAATGGACTGAATGTTTCTGTGCCCCCAAAATTCATACGTTGAAATCCTAACCCCAGTGTGATGGTATTAGGACATGGGGCCTTTGGGAGGTGATTAGGTCATGAGGCTAGAGCCTTCATGAGTGGAATTAGTCTTTAGAAAAGTGACTCTGATCCCACCAGTCTAACACCTGATGCTGTTCTCGCCGCCTACTACTCCACCATGTGATGACACAGGAAACTGGCCCTCACCAGACACCAGACACCAGACACTGAATCTGCCTGTGCCTTAGACTGCCCTGCCTCCAGAACTGTGAGAAATAAATGTTCATTGTTTAAGTCATTCAGATTATGGTCAGTTGTTACAGCAGCCTGAACAAACTATACACACACACACACACACACACACACACACACACACAGACATATCACCACAGAACATCTATCACTGACTCTTGGTTTTGTAAGAAGAGAATAAATTGAGTATCTCTAATAGATCATATACAGTGTATTTACCCAGGTTTTCCAGAATAATACAATTGCTCTGGAATATTAAGTTAATTGAGGTAAAAGTGCCTGTGATGTCACCTGCTGCCCAGAAGGCTACTCCTCAAACTCACTATGCGTCCTCACGGAGCACTTAACCTGCCCTCCTCAGACATTGCTGGGCTCATTTTATCAGGCCATAGCTTTTCTAAACCCATCCTCTCTATTATGCTCTTCTCCTTCTGTTCATAATGGGCCAAGTGTGATTTTCATCTGTCTACTGATGTTTCAGATATCAACATTGATGCCACAGTTTTGCTATGGCCCATGACATCCATGCCAGGCCCAGGTTGCCCTTGTCCTGTGTAGATTCACTCAGCTCCTTTATAATGACCCTGAAAGTCAGCTTCCATATCCTGGCTACCCAGCCCAGAACAGCACTGCTAAATTGGAGCAAGTAGAGCAACAAATGTTCCTTGTTTTTTGCCTTGCCATTTGATAAGCAGCGTGTATTGGAAGACAATTTTGAAACATCTAGCTAAGCGAGTTCTGTGAGATGTGAGTGCCAAGTCCAGGTTTTGACCTTTAGCAAGTTCATAGTCTGCTGCCAAGTTACAACCTATTCTGTCAAACACTTAGAGGACACGCTCACTTCTCTCCTTCCTGTCTCCTTGCTCACTGATAGGGCACTGCTGCGGTGACAGATGAAAGTCTTTGGCTGCTTGTGTGGTTTTCCTGGTGGGCCTGGGACATGTCGTTCATTTGACTTATCAGATCAAAGAACTGTGCTAGCCAAGTAGAGCAGTTAATCATATGTTACCCATCAGTATGTATAGAAACTCTTAGATTCATGTCTTCTGATTCAATTTAAAAATTTAAAAAAAAGGTTCACAATTTTATGCTTTACTTCTTTGATAAGATAAACTATTAGTTTTAACCATAGGAAAATGCCATTTTTATCCGTCAACAATGGTAAAATAGCAGCTTCTGAAATGGTTCAACCTAGGAATGGTCACTGTGTGTGGCATCTTAATGAATTCTTGCTAAGGGATCCAAATCATTTCTGAATACAAGTCATTCCAGAATGGTGAGATCCAAATAAGATAGTAATGTGGTCCCATGGAATAATCTTGCTTTGATCAATTGTTCCTTTATGGTTACAGGATATTTTGAATATTTTTATGCTCATTAATAATAAATGTTTTTGTCTGTATTAAGCTTTGATAATATTTCTAGTTCACAAAGATAAACTGTTTAGTAAATAAGTGGCTAATGAAATATGCTCTTTACAAATCAGGAACTCGTAAGTTGTTATACGCAGGAGAAAGGTATCTGATTGCAAAGTTCTTGTGTTCATGTGGTAATCAGTTAATATTTTATATTGCTGCTAGGGAAATAAAACAAGTGTGACTTTAGAATTTGATCTAGCAGAAGAGCTGCCTTGATGTAGGGACAGAGGAAGAAACATCAAGAGGGCAGAAGGAGAAACTGACTAGAAGTTTCCTCTTATCCTGTGTAGTACAGCAGCACATGTAGGCCGCCACCCATCTGTGTTGATTCAACAAATATCAGAAAGGGGTTGGGTCTCTAGTGGCTTTCAAATCAGAGAGACTAGATTTGAGCCCAGATTTAATTCACCCTCTGGGGCCTTGGGGAAACTACTGAGTCTGTCATAACCTCACCTTTTAAATCTATAAAATGAGAATAATAGCCTCATCTACGCCATAAGGATTTGCCATGATTAAATGAGAAAACATATGTAAAGTGCTTAGCTCAGGATTTAAAATTTAGAAAGCCCTCCGGAGAGGTCACACTATGTGCTGGGCATTCAGGATACAAAGATGAATAGAA